GTAGACGGAACATTTCGTATATTCATATCTATACTTATCAATTAATAAATTTTGCAAATAAACTCCGAAATGGATGCACTAGAGTTCCTACTTACTCCTCTAACAATACACTAGATACAAGATGATGTCTGTAAACTATATTTAGATTTTACTCGCATAGTAAGTATAGTACATTAAATTAAAAGTCTACTTTCATTTTCTATAAACAGCCACGAAATAGCAAAAACGTGAATACGGTGGCGTTTCCAGTTGGCGGATCTAAGTTACTGACAAAATTTAATGAAACTGACAACAAGCAATCGTTTGTTTATTTCATAAAACGTCATCACTGAATTATTCAATCAAAACTTGATTTAAATGATATAAAAGAAATAAGTTTTGATAACCGATTAAAAAGGGAAATATGCAAAGTATTTTCGTCATTCACCGGTCTTACATGTAATATTGACGGAAGCTTCTAGAACATCATATAGCATCGAGCCCGATGTTAAAAAGAAAAACGAGGTGATTATAGCTGCATAATTTTTTTTAATAAAAAAAACTTTTGTGTGAATGGTCATTGAAATAATGGTAAATCATTGATAACACTATAAGTTGTGAATATATTTATATATCGAAAGACTATTACATATGCATGTATGTAGTAGGTTTTCCTAATAAATAAATCGGTAAAATTTGTACATGTATATATTCGATACGGAGAGCATCGTGGAAACGAACCCGAAGTACAATTTGTACTTTGTATTAAACTTGCTTACATGAAAAGAGAAAACTAATGAAGAAGGTTTTGTTCAAATACAATTAAAGATGTAAACTTTTGTGGTTTAATCAATACATTTGTTTTTTTTCTGAATACAGTCTTTTGTATCAAATACTCTATTCATATGGCGTTACAACCTAATTTTTACACAGGTACTTGGGTCTTGGTTTATAAATATGTATGTACCTTATTGATATGTAAAAAAAAAAAAAAAGTAAAGTACATTTTTTACATATCAATAAGGTACAAACATATCTATAAACCAAGACCCAAGTACCTATGAATTTTTACCCCCCCCCCCCCCCAAATCAATTTATCAGTAAAATGTGCATATTCGCTGCTTTTATCCTTGACGGAAATGAAATAAGAGCATCTGAAGTACAATATCCATAACACAGTATAACAGGTTTCGCAATGAACGTCAAACGGAAATTTTTTTTACAAAAGATCCAGAGGGGTTGGGGTTGGGGGGGGGGGACTTCATGCGGGATTTTGAACAAAGTCCTGCTATAAGCTGTAGGCTGTCAGTAGAAACTACAATATATATTTTCTGTCGGTAGTGGTATAAATTCAATTCCCCGCGCTTGCGCGGGATTTCATCTAGTTCAGTATAAAAACAAAGGCTTAACAATTGGTATCAGAAACGTCATCCAAAATACAACTCAATGATAGGTTATATTTGCTTTTTGGTCCAAAGTATAATTTTACCAATACCTGTAAAGGATTCAATGAAATTTGATGTATACACTCTTCTACCGGGGTTATTTAAGAAATAAGATATCATTTTTAGAGTTCCATTGGGATATGACATGAAGTTTGTCACGTTATCAAATCCCTGGAAGACGGTATACAGATTTGAAGTATTTTACAGTCTTCGGAAGATGCACTTCCTCTCTTCTGTGAATGATAGAAATTGCAATGATGTGAAAATGTTTATTTCATTTGTTGAAATGCTTTGCAAGACAAGGGAGATAATTTTCTGGTGATCTAATTTTCGTACGACTCAACATTTTTTCAAGATTTTCAATCTTTAAAAATCTGACAAAACGAACAGAAGAAAATGGCAATAAATAAATCTAAATAACATGTTTATTTATTTATAGCAATTACTGAAAAGAGTTACTATATTTGTATTGTAAACAGAAGTATTCTTTATTGCATTCAAGCTTTAGAGCTTGTATTGATTATTTTTTCCCTATGGTTTGCACTGTCTTTCTAATCTCGGCAACAGAATCGGAGTTTACGGAGACAACCGAACATCTGGTTGAACTTTCACATGGTAGGTCTTGCCTCAGTAAAAAGCTGATGAGGAAATACAAAATCAAGGAATGCTATAGAATAATACGACCTGATAGGTGTCGGTCAGTTTACTGTTTAAGGCTGTTGCTAAAGACGGCAAAGCTTTTTGAAAAAAGCTCTACTTGTTCATTATTGCAACATTCATGAATAACATCGGATATAAGGTACTAGTATATCAAACAAGAAATTTAAAATCAGAATTGAATCCGGATAGTTTTTTTTTTGTTGTTGTACGTATTTATTTGCTTTAAATTTGATTGGTGCTTAAGGGCCAACTATATATAATATAAGGTTACTTATAAAAAGAGCTTAGTCAGGCCCCCATCCCTAGTAGCTGTACATACGAGGGGTTATCAAAAAGTTCGTGGACTAGCGTCATAAAATTAAAACCGCTTAAGATGCATCAATGAATTTTTAAACATTAAATAAGCATCTTCATTTCTATCCGTAAAATAAACCATAAATCATAAGTTTTATTTTTTAAATAAATTTTTAATGTTTTTGTAAGCAATGGTATGTCAAGGCGGCGCAACCTCGAACATGACGTATTTTCTACCTAAGTGTAACTGAGAAAAACTCTTCTAATATGAGCATTTGTCATCCGAAATTCGCATTAATTCACTCATGTGATATGACATAATTTTTCCGTAAAAGTTGTAATTTTTACCTGATTCAATATATTCTATGAAATTTTATCGTAAATTTTATAGGGAATGTCCAAACAATATAGGGGTTAAAAATGACGTCGAAAGGGGGTAGGGTGTCATTTTACAACATTCTATAAATTTTCAGCCCCGGAAAACCTGACATAGACCTAGAAAATGTTTAAACAGGCTAAAGAGAAATCAAATACATCAAGAGTATTTGTGTTTAAATACCAAGACAAATTCAGCAAGAAAAGAGACACACGGTTAATGTCGATTTGTAGTCAGGGTGTCCAAAGTCAGACACGTCGAAAAGTGACGTTGATCATTGGTTGACATTGAACACCGGCAAGAAAATTATGCAGGCAAATCAAGCGAGGATCTTTTCCTAAGTATAGATTTAATATTTACAATATTAATGCATTGAAATCAGGTGTTCATAACATTGTAAAGTCATATAAACAAGACGGGTTTAGGTCTTTACTTTACTCAAGAGAATCTCATCATGAAAAGTGTATTGAGGCAGAGGGAGCGGGCATGGAGAAATAATGACGTTGTCGGACGTCATAAAAATAAACGGCGACAGCGCCGGGTGATCGTATAATGCTCTTTTTATTTAATGATAATTTGGCAAATTATCAACATATCAAGCTGAAATTTTCAACACTTCTTAAACTTTTGTTGTTTTATGTTCCCTACAAATTTTGTAATCATCAACTACATAGTATTAATTTTATCGCATCAGTCCACGAACTTTTTGATAACCCCTCGTATATAAGCTCTGGTGGTATAAGTCCGGGAAAAAATGTTAGAAAAAAGGATGAAATACAAAGCCAACATCCTGAAAGCGTCAGTTGGCCTTTTAGTCATATACTGAAGAAGATATACCTACAGAATCACATTTTTTTTTAAAAATAAAGATAATTCCTTGGGTAAAGTTTTGCGATTGGAAACAACCATGAATACAAGAAAATGAAACCTAGTATATCTATTATAACGTTGTTCATTGTAGCACTGAAAAGATGATTCATATACGTTTTCTCCGATGATTTAAGAAAGACCTCTGAAAAACATCTTGAATTTCTTGAATTTTATTTCCGATGAATTTACAAAGAAGAAACAAAAGAAAACAACAAAGTTAAACCTATTGCAAACAATCTCAGAAATATTGTATTAAGAGGGCTGGGTGGTCATTGGCATTTTTTAACTATCTAAAAGTCCTAGAAAAAGAGTTCTGTTTAAATTATAAGATATCGCTTTAAACTTGATGTTTTTTAAAATTATATAACTATATGTTAGATTATGACTAAAAATCATAATTCAAATTTTTGGGTTGATCTGTTGGGTAAATTGTTGACCATCCAACCTCCTTATAGCATTTTCTTAAAACTAGTTTTATGTACAATTATAGTAAATGGATAAAATAAATCATGGTCCACTTAATGATTAAAAAGGCCCTTAAGACACCTTATGTCATAGTTCAAATATCCATATAAAATTTATACATGTACTTTGTGCTTTCATTTCTCATAACAAAGTGTCCTCTAAAAGACTAAGTATTGGCCAAGTGAAGTTGCAATGTTCTTGAATTTTGTAGAAAACAAGTGTATTTGAGTACTTTCAGCAAGACAAAGATATGAGCACAGCCCTCGATCCAAAATATAAAACATTTTATCAACTTCAGAAGCAGTTCTACTATTACATAATAGAACATTTTGCATCAGAGTATATGCTCTATAATGAACATTAAAAACAGCTCAAACATTTAGCCATATGGGAATGATGACGCATCAGAATTCATTGACAACCAAAAAATTACGTCATGCGAAATGCAAAAGTTTAATAATACCTGGTAAAATTGGAAATGTTTATTTGACAATGTTAATAAGTTATAATCTGTTACAATATGTAGGACTTCCTTTTTTTTATTTTTTATTTATTTTTTTTGTGTGTGTGTGTGTCCTTACATTGATCTGTTGATGTATTTTTTTTCTATCATTCTGTTAAAATATAAGAACAAGTATGCTTCCACATACCAAAATGAATATGTTTGAGTGAGAAAGTGAGAGCGAATGGTGTGTAAAAAAGAAAAGAATTTAGTAATACATTAGTTTGTATTAAATTGAAAAAATTACGCCATTCTCAACAGATATGCCGTCACCATTGGTCAAAGTGATATTTCATGCATTGTCAACTAAAATTAAACAGTTCGAATTTTTCAGACATTTACAAGACCAAAAAAGGCTTAAGTGAGCCTTGCTATTTGCAAAGTTTATTAAATGTGTTTATTACATTTTTTAAGACGAACTTGGACCTGTTTGATCTTCGTAGACATGCCCAGTATTGCGGATGCTTTGAATTAATGGAATATTCTGGAATTTTTTAAACATTTCTTTCAATTCATTATTACTGGGAGGCATTTGATTTCGAATTGATTCAGATAACTTATCAACAGTTAAAGGCCTCTTAATCTTTTCGCCAGACAACACCTTGAGTGCCATCCCTGCTTTAACCTTCACCCATTTCCTCTTCTTTGGACTCTGAGCGGTATCCTCTTTCAGGATACCTTCTGAAATTTCGATGCTTGGTATTTTCACAATGGGATGAGATTTCTTCTCTTCGGATATTGTTGTTGTAGCAATAATCTGTGTGACTGTTGATATTCTGTGGTAAATCATGCCAAAGAACTGAATCGTTAAAAGGATACCAAAAACGACAATGCAGGCGATTGAAATTGGTTCTATGGTGGATTGGTTATCCCCCGTGTCACAGGGAAGAGGGATTAAAAGCGTCCCTTGGTATGCATTAATTTGAGTAAGAGCGAAAATCAGCGTTACGAATGCAGTATTTATAACAAAGTAGAAGAAGAAAACTTTGTTCCGTAGATCTTTTAGATCTGCTTGCACCTTCTTTTTATCTTTGTTGGCTTTTAGTGGCTTAAGATATTTTTTTATTATATCTGTCCAGAATTTTTCCTCTTTCGGCGTAATTGGCTTGCATTTCTTAAATATACCCTTACTTCCTTTCAAAACAAAGAAAATGTATTTAGAATAATTAAATAATCAGTTTATCAACAGCTAATCCCAAAACATTTAGCAAAACACACCAGAAGACACAAACCTTTGTCTTTTTGAGATGTCTTTTTAACTGCAGTTGATGTAGCTAGAACATTTGTAAAATCTTCAACAAGCTTATCCTGATTTGTCATTCCAACAGCATTTTCAGATCCTCTATCCTCGATATGATTCTGGATATTTACATGAATAGATGTGTCATGACCTGACTGCATGTCTTCAGTATTTTCTGCATTTTCATTGTTTTCCAAAATGTTTGGTTCTTTAATTTCTCGTGCACAAATTATACATCTGAAAGAAAAAGCAGAATAGCATGAAATACATAAGATACTGTCAATCAACAAAAAAGCTTATTTATGCAGGTAATTTTTTTTATCAGCAAAAAAACTCCAATATTTCATCATATTTAATTAACAATATTTTATAAATTGCAACTTGTCTGTCTGTTTAACTTTATAAACCCGAATTAATTAATACATAAAAAATATAATCTGTCACCCCCTGAAAACCTTGATTTGATTAATCGGAACATGAACCACATGATGATGATTTAATATTAATAGGACTGACTGTGATTTTTTGTTCTTGAATAAAAAGATTTTTGAAAACTGTTCCTGCTTTATTTATATTCCAACTTAAAATTTAGACCCCTGTGATAACTATAACTGAGCCTTTGGGACCATAATTTGTACGTTTTTCATTACATAAAGATACTAGCATTTTCTTATGTCATTCTCGACAAAAAAATATGCATTATTTTCCACTGTAAAAAGTCTGCTTAATGTGATCCCAAATATGGGAACCATGACTTCCAAAGATTAAATCTAATCTATTAAACTTAATGTATTAAATGTACTACCAAGCCTCTTTCTATACTCCTAGCGAAAATATTAACAGCTGTCTAGAAAAAATCAAAGCAGTATATTGACATATTAGAGACGTAATATTAAGCAATGAGGATTACTTTCAAAGAAAGTGAACTTTTAAAATCAATAAAATTTGAGATCACAAAATTTTACTAAAGTCTTTTCAAAACTTAATACAATCATCAAAGACAATGTTTTCTAAAAAAAAAAAAAATGGAACACGTAAATTTACATACTTTGTCACTTTTCATCTGTAAATGTTTCTGTTAAAAACAGTATTCTGAATGTTACGCAGATTTAAAGGTACTCTGAGATTAATATTAAAAGATGATTGAGTTTCTCATTGACAATACCTATTAAATCTTTGAAGACCAGGTCTTCCAACAATCTTTTTGAACTCCCTTGGGTACTAATTGTGTCACTTTATTAGCAGACCTATTTTTGTATTCTTATGAAGCAGAATTTATTAAAATCTTCTACATGAAAAGAAGTCTTTTGTTGTGGCCTTCAGTTGACATTTATACATATAACGACGTTTAATCAATTAATAATATTCCTTTTCATTCGTAAATTGATTTGATGTATCCCATTGAACTGGAAATGAAGGGCAAGGCAGAGTCTAACACTTCTGTTTCATATTATGATGTTTTCCTTTAAAAAAGACACTAATGGAAAACCAACAACTAAACTTTATGAAAAAGATGATGTAATAAACTTTTCTATGACCAACTTCCCTTATTTATGTAACAATATACCATCACCATCTTTATGTGTCCCTTTCGATTAAATATGTAGGAGCATGTTCTACATGAAATAGGTGAAGATTACGAAGAGTGATCGATCTCAAAAAACGTAAAAAAAAAAAAAAAAAAAAAAAAAAAAAAAAAAAACAATAACAATCTGTTATCAGAACATATAACATGGATCCCACATAAAATTCCGGAGATAAGAGGTGCCTTGTTCTCAAGGTGATTTTGTTTGCAAATAGAATCTATCTTTGGGTCAAATATTCATGTTGACTGACATCTTTCATACAAATTGTTCAACCTTTATTTTCATAATGAATTGTCTTCGGAATTCTTCCCGATGTGACAAGGAGCCCAAGGCGGATGTGACATGGGATGCTCACTCCTCCAAGACCCTGATCCCATCTCTGTTTTTAGAGGTCTGTAGTTGCTCCCCTCACAGTTAATATTGTTTAATGCACTTTTGAGCATGCTTACTGTTCGTTATCGTCATATTCATTATTACTTGGGGATGGTTGCATAGTTATATATGTAACCCTTCTATTTCTAAAATAAATATGAATAAAGACTTCCCATTTGTATCCATTTTCTTCCCTTGACATTCTTTTACTGCTCACCCTAGCCCAAGTAGTGATGATTTTAATAAATTTGAATATACATTACATGATTGATTGATTGATTGATTGTACGTTGTTTCACGTTCCGTTCGAGAATTTTTCACTCATATAGAGACGTCACCATATACCGGTGAAGGGCTTTAAATTTAGACCTTAACTCGGCACTCATGGCCAATGAGCATTGAGGGATCCTTATCGTGCCGACGCCTGCCGTGACACTGGGATTCAGGTTTTAAGGTCTCATCCGAAAAGCCCGCAACTTTTACTTAAAAGTGCCGAGGACAGAGCTTCGTGAAGGAACAGTTGCTACCTATCCTTCATCGACGTAGGTCAGTCGTGGCCTAAAACTCAAGGTATGGTTTCAATACACATCTGACCCTGTATTTTTCAATATGAAAGTGATGTAAGAAATTAAAACCCATGCTTTTTGCATTGATGAAACTTAATCCAGAAAGAAGATATAAATGGTTGTTCTCAAATCACCTCCTAAATGCTAATTGTGACGTCACGAACTTGTGCATTTTCCCGTATTTTCTTAAAAAATTGCAAAAGGCAGCAATTTTCAGTGGAGTTTCTTTCAGGTAATATAGAGCATATGCATTACCCACAAAGATTTTGAGAAATGTGATTTTTCAAGGAATTTCACTCCTTTTATCCGAAAATTGAAGTGGACGACGGATGTGGACACCATGGACACCATTTTTCTTAAGGCAAATTACCCCCCAAAATGAGACACTTTGAGGCATTTTTCTGTTAAAAACTTAAGAAATATACAGAATAAATGCCGTCATACTTCCAGAGTGGTCCTCAGCTCATATTTAAGCCAATTTTATAATTGTTTGAAAACATTCAATTTTGGGGGCACAATAAAGCCCAAATTGTACCCGTTTCTTTGTTTTACGATGTAGTTTAAGCAAAACTGGATCTACACCACATGTGGATGCTTCCATTTTAATGCCCTATTTTCTTCAGAAGACTCTTAAAGATTGATTACCTATACAATCCTTGGTTCACCCCCCCCCCCTTCCACCTTCCAATTTGTCTAAAGAACTACCCGCATTTTAATATGACTAATTGTGACCATTACGTTGCTCAGAACATTTTGAAAACAAGATGTGTTTGTGAAACACTATGCCCCCGATGGTAATTCTGGAGTGGGACGTAGACTACAGTGCAATAGTTCTGGCCAATGCCACGTAAAGATCAACTTCTTACGCCAGTGTTGTAGGGTGACACTTTTCCAATAGTCAGAACCCCCCCCCCCCGGAAGTCATGCTCTAGAGTGAGACTTCCTATGGAAGTCATGCGCTGGAGTGAGACTTCCCCTTGAGGGGATTCTGACTCAAGAGCGGGAGGACCCTCGAGGAAGTATCATTCTAGAGAAACACTTCCTTGCAGGAAGACCTTCTCCACTATTAGTTGAAGAATCAGACTTCCAACATATAGCAGGTCTTTTCGCTCACAACACCCCCACTCTAGAGCAAACGCGCAATGTGTTACGCGACCAAAGCGTGACGGAAGGACAGACGGAAGGGCAGAAGAACGGAAGATGGAAGGACGGTAGATGGACATAACAAACACAACGTGCCCCGGCCATATTCATGGCGGTGCAAAATAACCAACAAACGATACAAATCTGTGAAAGGCACTGACTTGGGTTCCGTAAAAACGACTGATTGTGGATGTGCTACTATGTATTTTTTAAAATGTTTTCTCTGAAAATGTCCAAGTTATATTTGAAACCCCTTCAAATCTTTATCCTAGCTCTAGGAGTTCATAATTTGAATAAATCTAAATCTACATTTAATAAGTCGCCCTCGTGGCGAAGTGGTTAAAGCATTCGCTCTAGAGTCGCAGAGTAAGAAGTTGATCCTCACGTCTGATTTCAAATTCCACTGTGGGACGTGGAGACTGGTCCTTCGGATGAGACCGTATAAACCGAGGTACCGTGTCACAGTAGGTGGTGGCACGAAAAAGATCCCCCACTGCTGAGTGCCGAGTAAATGTCAAAATTTGCAGCTCTCCACCAGCAAGTGGTGGCGTCTCCATATAAGTGAAAATTTTTCGAGAAGGACGTTAAACAATAATCAAACAAAACAAACAAACAATAATAAAGATACCTTCAATTAAGTGTTTTGGAATTGTGATTCTTGAAGAGGCGGTTTTTTCGTTATTTACTGCTTATTCCTCATGAAACTGGTTTTAAAATTCTCATTAACGTATGCTTTGCTTTTTGAATTTGAATCATTGCTTCTTGAGATGAAATTGAAAATGTGAAAAGTGTAACAGCGAAAAATGACAGTCGGACGGACGCAATAAATTCTTTGATCAGAAAATATCTATTGAGCCTTCAGATAAATTAAATTGGCCTTTTTTGTACTAAAAACTGTACAAAACCTCACAAAACTTTACGCAGTGTACATCAAAAGTGCATCGAGTTACATTAAATTTGTTGTACAGACCTGCACCAATCCCCAATATTACACGATTGTCCCTCAAATTTACTCTTTATCTCATCAGTCAGTGTTCTCTCAGTCGCGATGTTACTTTCCCTAGTCCCCCAGTTAATATTGTGCATATTTCCGATGGAGTACAATATCAACAGCATAGACATTGAGGGAACAGCCAGGAAATACAGCAAGCCGTAGAACAGGCAGTCAAACTCCTGAAATGATTGAAATCAGGCTGATTAGTTTGAAATGTTTCCATTACATCTGTATTTTTTGGTCATATGAATCATTTAGGTAACCTATATTGCTATCTGTTCGTCGTGTCCATAGCCCGTTGTGATCACATACTTTTGAACATTTTAAGCTTCTTCTGTGGAACCACAGAATCAATTTTAACCAATTTTGGTATAAAGCATCTGTGAGAAAAGGGGAATATAAACTTTGCAATCTCTACTTCCCTGGGACCTGAAGGAAGGGTCTAAAACCATCAAAATTTATGCCTCTGCAAAACTCTTCTTTACTGTTAAACATGAAGCGGTCAAATTAAGTGCCATTAGCCCTCTACCATACATATTATTTTCATCATCCCTTGGTTTATGATTCAGGCTCCAGAATGGCGCTGTTGGTCAAACATTTAAAGTCAATTACCTTAGAAGTGAATTTTTAGCGAGACACAAATTTAGCGATTTTTCCTAAGAAATCAACTTTTAATTTTAGCGAGAAGTAATTTTAGCAATTCTATAGTGCATAGAAACATAACGGTAACCTTTCATGCGGAATAAATTCTAAGCGATATTTAATTTTAGGGATCTCAACACTCTCGCTTAAAATGCCAATATTGAATCCTTGCTAAAATTTCTGCTTAAACGGTATATCTTATCAAACCTTTCTCTTTACTGGTGGACATGAAGAAGGCAAACTTTGTATGGCTATAATGCATACTCAACCTTTTACCAGTTCTGTGAAAGTTATAAACTTGGTTCATGGTTCAGGCCCTAAGGTGGGGCTTATTTGGTCAAATAGCTGAAATATATTATACCTATAAAAGATCTATAATATAATTTATTTATAATATTATATCCCCTTACAAAAATACCGATAAAACTTTTCTAAAGAAAAAAGAGGGATAACCTAGCTTGCGTAATACGGACCTCATTTTCAGAATAAATAGTCAGGTTTAGAATTTGAGACCGCATCATTTCAAAAGTGATAAAAATTCCCACACTGTCCATACATACTGAATGTTGTTAAACTGAGGGAGGCATATTAACAGTCAAATTCTTTTTAGTGTATAACAGCTGATTTGAATTTTCGAAATAGTTACATGTACACAGAAGAACGCTTCTTACAATCTATCATTAAGGCATATGCTGACTGACTTTTTTCATACTAATTGTTAGACCATTATTTACGCACTGAATTGCCGACGGATTTCTCCATTATTTCTCGATCATGACAAGGAGCACAAAGCGGGTGTGACCGGTCGGCAGGGGATGCTCACTTGGCATCCGTGTGGCACCTGATCCCACCTCTGATATTTTTGGAGGTCCGGATTTGTTTTAATGGACTTCGAACATGAACGTACGTTATCTCCATATTTCATTCTGAATCAGCAAGCCACACATTGAAAAACTCCAATCGTAAAAATGAGGGGATTTTTCACATAAGTTGAAATTGCTCACTCATTTTGTGGTATGAAAGTAAAAAAATTAAGAAATGAGTTACAGATTTCTCAGAGGTCCATTAAACGGAATTCCTGTGTAACGGAGGATGATTACACGAAAAGAACCCTGATTTCACGAATAAGAATGCTTACTTAAAGCTGAATACGACTCGAAAATAGCTTTACCTTGCTACCTCCGATATCAGTGATGGTGTATAAATACCTTTAAGTGACCTCTAAAAGTTAGGCGCCAGCTGGCGCCTTATCAAAAAAAATTTAGTCGTCAATGTAAACTTTTAGTCGACATGCAATTTTTTTAAGGCGCCAAATTTAAAAGTTAATAGTAATAAATATAGGGACCCATGACATGATAAATCTATTTAAAAATCGTAAAGAAAAAAATCAGCATGAATATATATATTAAATATATATAAAAAAGTAAATTAAATGCAATCTTTAACTAAAGCTTGCATGCAAAAATTCTAATATTCAATTTTTTTTAATCAATTATTTCTTTTACTTGGACTGAATGAAATATTCTTGAAAACTATAATAGTATAGAGGATTGTTTACTTGATTAACATTCTCGTTCGTACAAGTATGGCCAAACACTAATAAAAATTGTAAAAAAAAAAATAAATAAATAAAAAAAATAAATAAAAAAAAAAAAAAAAATGTTAAAAATTCCACAGTTCGACGATCGCCAAATCAGTTTAGACTGGTCGCCAAATTTGCGACTTAATGGAAAAAATTTAAGCGCCAAACAAAAGATAGAGCCCAGGTATATCATTCGTATTCGTTACCCCCGACTGCTTTCTTGTCTTATATAATCTTTGTTTACATTTTATTGCAGTTTACGTGTATCTGTGTTTGTACACTGTACTGATCTGTGCAACTGTTGTAAGTTTCTTTTGTATATTTTTTTTCTCCTGTTGTGAAAGAAGCACAGTGGTACTCTTGTCGCTACCGGGTGTTTAACTATGCAGATGATTAAATGATTGCACTGAACAGTGACTAAGTGAACGGCTTATATAGCTCTCAGATGTAGCGCCTGAATAAAAAAAATATGTCGGACGAATTCTTTTTACGAATCGTCTTCAGCTTTAAGCGTGGTTCTTTTGTAGATTTTATAGTGTCTGGTGAGATTTAGCATTAAATGATTGATCCACGCAAGTACAGATCTTAAATTCAAATAATTGATTACATTAAGTCTGACCCCCTGTAGAAGTCCAACAGTAAACTACATGTACAAACAATATATAGTTGCAGTATAAATATATATATATATATATCTGTTACACAATAGAATTGTTTACCTTTGGATGGAATATAGCGGCAATAACAAACACACTGCCCACAAAACTGAGGAAAACAGAAGTAATTGAGCAGAACTGTGATTCTATGCCTTCTTTTATTAATCCTATGAAAACAATCAGCATCACCATACTGTATATTGTCGAGAGAACTCCAGCAAGGATCAGCTTTAAAAAAAAGAATCGGTAGAAGAAACGTGAAAACAACATTTTTATATATATATCCTTTTTAAAAATCATTTTTTTAAACATTTTTTTGTAATCCGTTCTGCGTTGCACGAAGAACGACAATTATTAAAAGCCTTCGGTAATTTTTTTAGGATTTCAAAACAATAGACCATCTGAAACTGCATGTACAACAAATTACAATTAGAGAAAATTCTAAATTTCTAAGGATGACAGCGGTTCACTGGTTAACCGACTAATCGATCGGAAAGATTGAACCGGTAATAATTTTCACAACCGGTTAGTCAGAAAATATTTACAGTATATGTACTTTTAAAATATTTGTTGATTTTCTTAAAAATTCTTGTGTGTTAAAAATTGAAATGCTACAATCGACCAATTAGAAATTCACGAGAGCCCCAGCTGCCAATATAAGCCCCCGTAATTTAGTCATTATATCCCTGAATGCTTAAAAAAGTATATGTACCCCCTTTTTTTAAAATTGTCCGTTTTTATTCAAATTCCTGTGTTTAAAACAACAACTAATTTTCTGCTCATATTATCACCATCGACAGCATAACCATTGCGATACTTTAGAAACCGGGAGGGGCAAATTCTACACCAAAAATTAAGAGAAAAAATCTCCACACTTCTCCTTTCAACGATCGGAAAATAATGTCTTAGTTAATAAATATATAGCAGTGGTGACATGATAGACTGCAATAACGCAAAGAGCTTAATGCGGTATCTGCATATTTTTGTTCCATAAAAGTCAAATTTTGCAAATTTTTTGAAATGTGCTGATTTGTATATATTGTATGAAAAATCTGAATATACCAAAATGAAAGAAAAAGTGAGCAAGCTCACATACCCCACGCTCCCCCAAAACTCAACAATGCAACAAGTAATGAATGGCACAGTGCATTTTAAATACACAGTATTATTCAAAAAGGGGCATTACTTGCAAAAAATCATCACATCAAAACTTCTTGCATACAAGGACATTCAAATCTTTTTATGTTACAAATTTAATCGGGCTTAAGTTTCTAGATAAATAATGGAATCAAAATTTCTTGGTAATATACAAATCTATACATTAGTCTGAAATACCTACAAAGTTTCAGGAAATTCAGTGCAGGAGTTATGCTGACAAACTGTTATTTGAATTCCTCACTGATTTCGATTTGTTAATGAGTGTAAGTCCATGTCGAACGTATGACAATTTACACATTTAAATAATTGATGGAAACAAAATTATGATGTAGTCATATGAATTTATTTATATACTGTACCTAAGAAATTATATAAGGCAAAGCACCAATTTGGGGAGGGGGAGGGGGGGGGGGTTGAGAACTATCCAAGATTTTGTGTGTGTGTGTGTGTTAAATCATTAATATTTTGATCTCAAAATCAATAGGGGTCTTTTAAGGTCATAAAATATTTCACATAAAATTTCATTACAAAAGCTGATTCCAGTGGATTTCCTTATGGCCTAGCTGGAAAGTTTCTTCAATAATAAGCAAAACTCTTAAGGCAGAAATAATGGAATCGGAATTTCTTGGTAATATGCACATCTACACACTATGTACTAAATATCTGCAAAGTTTAACTAAATTCTATGCAGTAGTTTAAGAGGAGTTGCACTAACATACTGTTCATCTCTATATATTCAAGATATGGCCTAAAATCTAACTTCAAAAGTGCTGAAATTCCCAGAAAAATACTGGAATCAGAATTTCCTGGTAATATGCACATCTACACATTGTGTGCTAAATATCTGCAAAGTTTGACGAAATTCTGTGCAGCGGTTTTAGAGGAATTGCGCTGACAAACTTTTCATCACTATATTCAAAATATAGTCAAAAATCTAAGTTGAAAAGTGCTGAAATTTCCAGAAAAATAATGGAATAGAAATTTCCTGGTAATGTGCACATCTACACATTGTGTGCTAAATATCTGCAAAGTTTGACGAAATTCTGTGCAGCGGTTTAAGAGGAATTGCGCTGACAAACTTTTCATCTCTATATTCAAGATATGGTCAAAAATCTAAGTTGAAAAGTGCTGGAATTCCAGAAAAATAACGGAATCCGAATTTCCTGGTAATATGCACATCTACACATTGTGTACTAAATATCTGCAAAGTTTGACGAAATTCTGTGCAGCGGTTTAAGAGGAGTTGCGGTGACAAACTCTTCATCTCTATATTCAAGATATGGCCAAAAGTCTAAGTTGAAAAGTGCTGAAATTCCCAGAAAAATAATGGAATCGAAATTTCCTGGTAATATGCACATCTACACATTGTGTGCTAAATATCTGCAAAGTTTGACGAAATTCTGTGCAGTGGTTCATGAGGAGTTGCACTGACAAACAGTTTATCTCTATATTCAAGATATGACCAAAAATCTAAGTTGAAAAGTGCTGAAATTCCCAAAAAAAAAATAAAGGAATCGGAATTTCCTGGTAATACTACACATCAAAACATTGAGTTGAAGCAGACCTGCGATTGGTGACTTTTACTCAAAAATATCAAAATCAATAGCAAAATATCGACGTAATATATACCTCACCCTTTTCTCAATAAATTACGAAAAATTTGAATTTATGTCGCTTTCCCGACGTCATATATAACATTTTGCGTCATGGCTGATGAAAATATTTAATGCTTTGAAGACTGCAGATACACCCCTGGATTAAAACATAGTTTGATTTGGGGGCAAATGTTGGTCATTACCGAATATAGTCATTTCCACAACTTCCAATTTTATCCAGAAAGTATCTTGTGATTCCCAGACCACTAGTGCTGCCAGGGTGACTTTTTGGTAAAAAAAAGTTGCAAAGTCGCCATTCAACATGAGTGTTGTGTGAAATCATTTTTTAAGAATAAGAATATCAGTGAATATGCAAAATTAATGTGCATGTCGGCGAAAATATTGTTTGACTCTGACAGCGAAAAAAAACTCAATTTCATACATTCTTTTCTACTTAAATTAAAACAAAAAGGATTCTGAATACCAAAGTGAAGATTTTTTTTTTTTTTTTTTTTTTTTTTTTACAAATTCATTTTGAAGAATAATTTATAATATTACAAAGAAGTTTGATCTGTTCAATTAACCGGTTACTTGGAAAAATTATACGACTAACTGATTACAAAACAATTTCCGATTGCCTTCCTTATCATTTTATAATTTACTTTTCAAAAAAGTATTTATTTTTCTGTTGACTCACTTGTGTCTCTTCCTTTGTCAAATATATTGACAGGATAAAAATTGTTACTGGCATCAGATTAAGTACCAAAGCTAGCCATGGCTCGATGCTTGGAAATGCGGTAATAATGGTACCCAGAATTAGCATGAAAATTGTCCCGGGTGTCAGAATGGAGAAGACAAACAATATAACCTGGTAACATACGTAGAAGATGGATATATTCCTGTTCGTTTTCCTGACCTTTCTCCAGTCCAAAAGAAGATCAAATATGTTAGCCATGGTTGATGGAGTCCATCGTCTTCTTTGTTTGTAAAACTCAAAGAATCCTTCCGGGGCAAATGTCAATGCGTCGGAGGCTGCGCAGTACTCCACGCGGAACCCTTGTTTTAGTAGAAGCGTGCAAAGCCATCTATCCTCTCCTTTAAAAAGAAACTAAATACAGTAAAGGTATCTCTGTCTCCATAAAAGTCACATTTTGAAAATCTGCTGAAATATACATAATTGTAAATATTGAATAAAAGAAAAATCTGAATTAACAAAATGTATTATTGATTGGGCAAAAATATTGGCATTTTTGTCTTTGTGAGGTCACATTCTATTGGATTTCCGTTACTTTTAAAAAAGAGAGGAAATGCAAAAATTTGTTCAATTTTGGCTATTATAGAGTGCAAAATTTTAATGAACTTTTTTTTTTTTTTTACATATTTTCTTGATATTATTAAGTCAAAAGCTGGAGTCTTTAATTATAAATCAATAATAGTTACCTCCATTCATATGTCGATATGTCCTAGAGAACTCTAAATAGAAGAGTCTACCACGTGTGTTTCATATTTCAATGTGTTACATGTACAAATTAATGGTAAAAACATGCAGCTAGCTTACAACTAAATTGTATGTTAAACGAGATGACTTTAGATTTTCTATCGCCAACGTTCCATAGTTAATTATTAATACTAGTAATCAGCTGTCACCTGCATGTGGCGCTTATGTCAGCGTATTACGTCTCCAAACTTATTCGATACTCTGGAGCATGATCAAAGTACAATCAATTTTTAAACCAAGGCAGGCTATTGACAAAAAAGTTGCTATTATAGGGATTTCCACAACCTCGTTTTAAGTCAGATTTTCCAAAATTCTACGAAAATTTTTATGACCTTCTTAGCAAATATTACCATACATTGGGTCGCATTTTGGCTGATCTGCTACTTGCCAATTGTTAGGGCTCGTTTTCATACTCAATTTAACAACGGAATATTGCGTCTACCCGATCAATACAAAGAGCTCTCGACGGATTTGACCGGTCGACTGGAGATGTTTACTCCTCCTAGGAACCTGATTCCTCCTCTTGAATATCCGGGGATCCATGTTTTATGACCTGTTCACAGGTTTTCATTGTTTGATGTTTTTCTAGCTCTTCTGAGTCAAAGGCTCAAAGAGCTAATGCTAAGGCCATTTGTACGATGTGCGGTGTGCGTAAACTTTTTAGAATATGGACCATAACTCAAGAACCCCTTGGCCAATTCTTGTCAAATTTGTCACAGGGTATCCTTAGCCCAAGGGATCCCATTTATACTAAAACCAGAGTTGTGACCCTTAAAGAAGGGGAGATAATTAGGAAAATAGAAACAAAAATACTGGTTGCTAAAAAATCTTCTTCTCAAGAACTACTGGGCAGATTATCATCAAACTTACAAAAAAGGATGAGAATATGTTGTTAATTGAAAATTGTTCAAGGCATCACCCTGGGGCAAAGGGCGTGGTCTCAAGGTCACTTCAAAGTTGACCAAAAATTACATTTTATTAAAATGTTGATATTTTGCTTACTCTAAGGACTAGGATCATCAAATCTTGTCAGTTGATGCATCTAAGGACCTCATATCATGTTGACTCAAAAGTAGGTCACGGTGACCTACTTTTTAAATTTTGCGGCCATTCTTTTTTAAAATGATTTAGAGGCATATTTTGAACAATTTAAGGCCTATGATCATCAAACTTTGTCAGTTGATGCATCTTGGGTCCTCCGAGTACGTCAACTAATATGTCACCTTGACCTATTTTTTGAATTTTATGGCTAATCTTTTTCAAAACAACTAAGGTCATTAATTCGAATACTGAAAGGTTTAGAATCATTAAACATGTAAGATGATGCATCTTGGGGCCATAAAATTAGGTCACAGTGACCTACTTTTTAACTTTGCAGGCATTCGATTTCAATGCGTTTTTGAGGCATAATTTGAACATTTTAAGGCCTATGATTATAAAACTTTGTAATTTGATGCATCTTGGGTCCTCGAAAAACGTCAACTGAAAAGTAGGTCACCGTGACCTACTTTTGAAATTTTATGGCTATATTTAAATATTAAGGATACTATTTGGCTTAGAATCATCATACTTTGAAAGTTGATGTATCTTAGGTCCTCGGAGTAGGTCGACAGAAAAGAGGTCACAGTGACCTACTTTTCAATTTATATGACTATAATTAAATATTTCGGATACTAATTGGCTTAGAATCATTAAACTTTGTCAGTTGATGCATCTGGGGTCTTCGGAGTAATTCGACTAGAAAGTAGGTCACCATGACCTACTTTTGAAAATTTATGGCTTTCATTAAATATTTCAGGTACGAATTGGCTTAGAATCATCAAACTTTGTCAGTTGATGCATCTTGGATCCTTGGAGTACGACAACTGAAAAGTAGGTCACCTTGACCTACTTTTGAAATTCATGGCTGTATTTGATATTTTTTCAGGTACAATTTTGCTTAGATTCATTAAAATTTGTCAGTTGATGTATCTTAGGTCCTCGTAGTAGGTCGACTGAAAAGGAGTTCACCGTGACCTACTTTTCAATTTATATGACTATAATTAAATATTTCGGGTACTAATTGGCTTAGAATCATCATACTTTGTCAGTTGATGCATCTTGGGTCTTCTGAGTACGTCTACAGAAAAGTAAGTCAACGTGACCTACTTTTGAAAATTTAAGGCCCTAATTAAATATTTCAGGTACAAATTGGCTTAGAATCATCAAACTTTGTCAGTTGATACATCTTGGTTCCTCAGAGTATGACAACTGAAAAGTAGGTCATCCTGACCTACTTTTGAAATTTTATGGCTGTATTTAATATTTTTGGGTACTATTTGACTTAGAATCATCAGACTTTGTCAGTTGAAGCATCTTGGGTCCTCGGAGTACGTCTCCTGAAATGTAGGTCACCGTGACCTACTTTTCAATTTATATGGCTATAATGAAATAATTCGGGTACTAATTAGCTTAGAATCATCAAACTTTGTCAGTCGATGCATCTTGGGTCTTCGGAGTAAGTTGACTGAAATGTAGGTCACTGTGACTTACTTTTGAAATTTTTCGGTTTTATTTAAATATATCAAGTACTTATTGGCTTAGAATCATCAAACTTTGTCAGTCGATGCAACCTGGGTCCTCAAAGTATGTCATCCGAAAAGTATGTCATTGTGACCTACTTTTGAAATTTTATGGTTATAATTTTAAAAATATTTTAGGTACCGGTATTAATTGGCTTAAAATCATCAAACTTAGTTGTTGCATTTGGGTCCTCAGAGAATTGATAAGTAGGTCACCATGACCTACTCTCAGGTAATAATTGGCTTAGAATAATCTTGGGTTCTTAGAGTGTTTCATCTAAAATTTAGGTCATGATGACCTACCTTTGGAATTTCAAAGCTTTATCTAAATACATGTATACAGGATACTTCAAATAGAAGTGATAGGATGTACAGTTTATCAGAAGAGCGATTCAAGGCACTTGAGCCTCTTGTTTTCTTTTAGATCGATCAATATTTGTTATAATCACCTTTTTTCGTTTTAAACACAATAAATTACCATAAATTACGTGAAATTCCAAAAGTTCTCAAAGTATGGATTAATATTGTTCGGAATATAATGCAGACTTTTAATATTCGTAATCCGTGCATTTTCCCAAAATGTCCCTAAGCAATATTTATCATTAAGGATGCAAGTCTATTTTCTCAATCGTACCTTGGTCACGTTGTATATAATGCAATGCCTCTGAGGATGTGCGTGTATATGTTTTAATAACATTGTCACTCAATATTGCAGACCCTCGAAATAAGCTAAAACATCCGGGCGAGCAGAGAACACATCCAATAATATGCTCTGTTGCTTTTTGTAACCAATGGCTGATAGCATACTCAAATTTCTGGTACCAAATCATAGGTCCTGTGTAAAAAAAGTCGATTAGTCATTAACAATTATTCGATCTGTTCAGATAATTACAGGAAGTATTACCATTTATTTAAAGAATCCTTTTTTAAGAACCCTCTATAACTGCACATGAAAGAGTTCTTATTCTGGATTTTATGCTGTTAGAGTAATCTTCCCTTAGATTTAAAAATTATTGAATAAAAATCTACGATGTATTACTCAGTCTGTAATCACTTCAAGCATTCTAAGCATTCTAATAGGCCAAGATAAATTAATTAAACAAGTTTTTTTCGCATGTAATTTCCAACCGTAAGAAAACAACAGTAATTTCTAATCAATAACACTTCGTTTTCATAGTAACCTTTGTTGAAAATAAAATAGATTTGCTCGATATAACACCTTTTAAAGTCATTATTTTCTCATTGTCCAAAAACCATTTAGCTTAAGCTTATAGAATGTCCTTAATTGTTTCAATGCATAAAAAAGATCTGACTATTCTTTATTTACCACTTCCAATCGGGTGTATTCTCCCACAAGCTGCACCTACTAGAGGGTTCTTTTTCATTCTATCTAGTAACAGGTCAATTGCTTCGGGTTTAAAGTCCACATCTCCATCAAGTGCCAAAATATATATGTTATTTGTGTATTTTTGCATGCGTGACTTTAATACATCTTTCCTCTCACTGGGACCTTTCGATTGAAGCTTGGGGTCGTTTTCCATTTCTTTCCTCATTTCATTTGTTTTGTAAGAGAGTAGATAATACATGTACATTACCTGGTGAAAAGAAAGAAATTATTTCATCTTATTAAAGAATAAAAAAAAAATTCCTATTTTTATTTTCCTATGAAGCAGAATATATTAAAAGAACCTCTCTCTCTCTCTCTCTCTCTCTCTCTCTCTCTCTCTCTCTCTATATATATATATATATATATATATATATATATATATATATATATATATATATATATATATATATATATATATATATATATATATATATATATATCGGCCTGGGTAGCTCTACCGGTAAAGCACCTGACTAGTGATGCAGGAGTCCCGGGTTCGATTCCGGGTCCAGCCATTTTCTTTATTCCTGTTACATATATATATATCCCTTGAAATCGAACAAAAAAACACTACAGTGTCTTCTACATCTGTTTTATATTTGGAAGTTTCAATAAATTAAGACGATGATGGGCAACCAACGACTACATGTAGATTATATGACAAACAAGATAACTTTAACTTTTCCATCGTTAACTTTCTTTTTTTTTTGTAGTAATCTTTCACTTTCACCTGTATATGGTATTTTTTCAACACGCAAGAGCATACTCTGAGTACGATGGATTTTAAAAATTAGTCAGGCTACTGACAAATAAGTTGATTTTACAAAGATTTCAACAACATTGTTTTAAGTCAGCATTTTGAAAATTCTAAGGTCGTTATAATAGTCTTGTTAGCAAATACAATCTTTCATTGGGTATTTTTTGATTGATGTGATTCATACCTTAGGTCCTTGATTTTACACTACATTTGACTATGAATTACTTTATCTACCTGACCAATACATAGTGCTCACAGCGGGAGTAACCGGACAACAGGGGGTGCTTATTCTTCCTAGGCACCTGCTTTCACCACTGGATTTCTAGGGGTCCGTGTTTCAATTATGTTCTGTTCACAAATTTGTATTGTTTGAAGAATTTTGAGATCGATCACAGTTCTTACCTTCACCTTTTTCTTTACATATAACTGATATGTAAAAACCTAAAGAGAGTTTTCCTGACAATTTGCATATTAGCCAAATGTTTACCAGACTCTATCAAAGATCATTCTTACATAAGCCATTTATAATTATTCCAATTTGAATATGGCTAAACTTGGGTTTGAACCTAAATATGTTGTAAGACGTGAGAAAACAAATGAAAGTATCACTCACATGTGAGTATTTTTGTTAATTTACATTGTCTTAAAATATCCCATGCCCTCCAACGTCGCTTACAAATGTTTACTCTATCGTTTTTTATCCTTACCTGACTCCATCGTTTCTTATGGCGGATTTTGGTGCTGTCTTTTAGATGAACCACTAACTTCTGCTTGCTCAATAGCTCCCATTCATACCGAGCACCATAGGGAGTTTTGTATTTTTCAACAGGCTGGAGCTCACATCCATCGTAAATGGCCCTTAAATTGTAAATCACATATATTTAATCTTTGTAACCTAAATGAATGTTCGCAGTTGTTTAGAGCTTTGAAGCTCAAATAACTGTCTAATTAAATAACAAAAACAATTCTAATGACCAAGAAAGTAAAGACCGTCTTGATTTTAGAATTGTTTGAATTCTCATTTAAGGATACATTAAAAGTTCAACTTTTAAATTACTTCATCATTAGGTCTTCAGGCTACAAAACATTTACAAATAATATTCATTACAAAAGAATTTTGGTGGCATTAAAATGTGGTATTGTAAATGTTTTGAATCATCTTTTTATTCAAAACTACAAGAACATTTTTTTCTCATTCAATATAAAACATAACCTTTTAAATGAAATTGACCTTAAATCTTCATTTCATCTTTATGAAGCTTTGAGTTGACCAGTAAGTTCTATCTATTGTGTATTGTCTTAAAAGTGTAAAAATGTTTTACTTCAAAATTGATCAATTTCTATAAAGTGTTACTTTGCTGTCATTGGGATCAACTTCTCAAGTTGCTTGACGTATTCATTAACATGTATTCCTTTCTTGCCATTTTTTCTAGGTTTAAAAGCATCGTCAAAGAATATATGCACTGAAATTGAATGATGCAATGGACAAACTTAATTCCGAAACATGTATAACAATTTTTCTTAAAATATCAAAAAGCAGATAAGAAAGAAAGAGATACCATCAAATGAAAATATATCTTCAGTCTTCCTCGTTGTTTCCAAGATGAAATATCTATAGTCTGTTCTAAGATTCGGTATGAGAAAGAAATAAAAAAGGAAAGTATTAACATCTCTACATATATACTTTTAAACGTATAAGTATTAGTATGAGATATATCTATCCTAACCTAAATATGGATTTGAGTAACTGTGTCATTTCTTCCTCCGTTTCATGCCACATCGTAGCACAGAAAAAAACAACAGGATGGAATTGTATCCTGTCGTCCATTTCTGAGCTAGCGCTAAACTCCTGAAAATCAAAGACAAAACCTCTTGGCCAAGAGTCTCCGTTTTTTTAAGCTACACATAAAATTCCAACTAAAACAATATCTCTTTAAGGAAATAATTGTCTCGCATAGAAAAGACCTTACTTGTTTTTCACTATTAACCTTGGACTTGACTTCTTTTTCAAAACTTCTTCGTCTTGAGAGTAATAATGATAAGTCCAGAAAAATTCCAGAGTAAAAAGGCTTAAAAAACATTCTGAAATACATTTAATGGAAGATTAAATTCAACAGCATAGTAATATCATTAGAAGAAACCATTTATGAGAGAGAATTTGAGGTGTGTATGCTTCTTTACTCAGACATGCACGTACAAATGTGTTATAAGAAGCTTAATAGTAGCGCATGAATACCTTTCAGAGAAAGTTGTTTTAGTTCCTTTGTTTGTCCATACATATAATGTTAATAAAATCGTCGAAACAAGTCCCATTATGCTAGATACAATTAAGGGGACTGTTTCCTCTGTTGGTTCACCAGTATTCAGCTGCCATATTGGCTGAGCAATATTACAACCCTTTGTAGTCCAAAACAAAGGATTACTCAGTATTGCAAGGAGAAGTAAAGGGACCAGAATGAGGCTAAGGAAAAGTGGAGGCGCGAAACAAATTCTCTGAAGGAGTGTTCGACAAGCATATCTTGAACTCTTGAAGCATAGAAATCCTAAACCTATTGCAATTAATGCTAATAAAATTGGATCTTTGGAGCTACATCCGTACGGTATGTAGGATCTTGACTGAAGCAAAACCTCACCGGTAAGTGTCTTTATTCGTGTTGTATTTTTTAGGTAAATCAAAGTCATAAATGTTTTTATCGAAGACTCGCTTGTTCGTGCACAAAAATGCCTAGTGTGAGAGCAACTGTCAAAATAGCTCTCCAGAGTGAAATTATTATTGAATTAGCATCACGTTTAGTCTGAATATACTCAAACAAAAAGGATCCCACAGAAACATTAGATTTATTTTTCTGTGACTCATCTGTATTTTGTACATTTTTTGGTGAGTTTGAATCATCCGTATCTAGTGTATTTTTCGCTGGGTTGGAATCACCCGTATCAAATTTATTGTTCTGTAACTTTGTCCTCGTTGTATCAACTTTATTTGAATCCAAGGTTTCACGTATAACAAAATTTTCCCACCATTCCAGCGAGATAAAAATAAATCCAAAGATAAATAATAGAATAATATCCCACTTTCTATTTCCAGCTGTATTTTGATAAATGTACCACATCTGAAAAACAATTGCAACGCTGTAAACTATCAATCCCAGTATATGAATCATCAGCATTCGATTTTGTTTTGGACGGTTTTCTTTCTTTTCTACGGACTCCATTTCTCTTGATTTTGTTTCTTTGATGTCCCCTTCTCTAGTCATTTTGTGTTTGTCATTTTTTGTTGTTGTTGACATTATTGGAAGAAAAATAATCAGTATAACTGGAGCAGTGCAGATGAAATTTGACAGCGTCGACGCTGATATCGGATCGAAAGAGGGCATAACCAAGAATACCAACAAACAAAGCACAGTTGTGTTAATACTTTCTATGAGAAGACCCTGTAATATAAAATTTGAAGCTAAAATCCATCATTCTATAAATAGCAGTGTATATCTTACAAATACAATATAACTGTTGTAAACGAAAATTTTAATTGACAAGTAGCTTTACTTACTTTATTTACTTACAAAAATTAGAAACTTGGCTTTTACTCCGTCGTTCTCTTTGAAACATACATTCCTAGAAGACACGTAAGCGGTATAAACAGCAGGAGCAATCATGACTATCACCAGTCCCCAGATCCAGCTTACATTAACTGTAGGAATCACTTCCCAGAGTCGACAGCGGTTCTCATTCTCTAAAGGACATTCCCACAAGGGGAATTCCGATCTTAGACGGTATCCGTTTTCGCATGATGTAGCAGAATTACTATTATTTTTACCAATACTGCAGTTATGCACTAAAAATATCATAGATTCAACAGGCTGAATTGTTCCGCCTAACGTTCCTAAATTTGACGTTTTGTTGATGGAGGGAGGGTTGAGATTCCACATCATCAGATGGACTATAGCTCGAGTGATACTTGCTGACGAGAGAACAACAATGAAGAGCAGGAAAGAACAAAACAAGACTAGTAGTTTGGTTAATACCTCCCATATTTTACTGGAGTCGCCTACAAACTCATCTGCTGTCTCCTCGGCACAATCCCATGTGTCATCTCTTGCAATAAACAATACATAAAAAAACTGATGAACTTAAGATACAGATGTTCATGCCGTACAGGGCTCTAATGGGCCACTAATTTAGTCGCCATGGCGCCTAAAAGATTTTTTATAAGTCGCCAAATTGGCGACCAATTTAAACTGACTTGGCGATCGTCGAATTCTGTAGTTATTAACATTTTAACATTTTTTTAAACAATTTTTGTTAGTGTTTGGTCATACTTGTACGGACGAGAATGTTAATCAAGTAAACAGTCCTTATATTATTATAGTTTTAAAGAATATTTCATTCAGTCCAAGTTTCCTAAAAATAAATATGTGATTAAAAATTTTTAGATATTAGATGGAAACTTCAGGAGTACTGTTCAACAGTATATTCGAGAAATGGTGTAAATCAGATATGGATACTTAATAACTCCAAAGAACTTTTGGAAAATTTGAAATCATAAAATTTTACTAAAATCAATAGCATCAAAACGTACCACTTTTCAACACTTTATACAACCATTCCCCACGATAAATTGATGTCCAAGCTTTTTGACGTCATAAACTGCTGCTTTTTCAATAAAAATGGAACTCGTAAATATACTTACCTTGTCATTGGTCATTTACAAAATTATTTTGTTAAAAAGCACCCTGATTGTACACACAAGTACTCTGTACTTGATATTAAAAAGATGCTTGAGTTTCTGATTGACAATATCTATGTATTTTTTGGAAATCAAGTCTTCCAACAATCTATTGGAATTCCCGTGGGTAACAATTGCACCCCCTTATTAGCAGACCTATTTTTGTATTCATATGAAGCAGAATTTATTCAAAAACTTGTACATGAGAAGAAGAAAAGACTTGTTGTGGCCTTCAACTCGACATTTAGATATATCGACGACGTATTATCAATTACCAATAGTTATTTCCATTCATATGTCGACTCGATATATCCCAGTGAGCTTGAAATAAAAGATACCACAGATTCTGACACATTTGTTCAATATTTAGATATTTTACTAGAAAAAGACGTTAATGGTAACCTAACAACAAAGCTTTATGATAAACGTGATGACTTCAACTTTTCAATCGTCAACTTCCCTTACCTATGTAGCAATACTCACTTATCACCTGCATATGGGGTTTATGTCTCTCAGTTGATTTGATACGCAAGAGCATGCTTTACGTATGAACAATTTCTAAAACGAGGCAAGCTATTGACAAACAAGTTGACGAAACAAGGATATCAACAGTCTCGTTTGAAGTAATCTTTTCGCAAGTTTTTCGGTCGATACAATGACCTTGTCAGTACATACAACTTATCATTGAGTCAAATGCTGCCTGACGTTTTACATACTAATTGTTAGGCCATTATCTATACATTGAACTGCCTACAGATTTTTCCGGTTTTTGTTTCCCGATCATGACAAGGAGCACACGGCGGGTGTGACCGGTCGGCAGGAGATGCCTACTCCTCCATGGCAACTGATTCCACCTCTAAATTTTGAGGTCCGTGTTTGCTCCAAATTTGTATCGTTTTATTGGACTTTCGAAATTGAATACTGCGTTATCTTCATATTTCATACATACTTTAGTTAAAGATTGCATTTAATTGACTTTATATACGTGGGTTGATCAAAAAGTTCGCGAACTATCTCTATATTTAAAAAACCACAATTCAGATCAGAATGAAATTTAGCACACATTTAGTCATACACATGTTCTATAAATAGCAGATGTGAAATAATGTTTTGTTCCGTGTTTGTGACGTCACAATATGAAAATGACGTCAGTATGTAGGTCACTTATGACAAAAAATGGTTGACCCAGTCGTACTCGAGCAACGAACGGCTGTGAAGTTTAACATATATCTCTGAAATTCCTTTGCATTGGAATATGATAATTTGTACAAGGTTTATGAAGACAAAAGACTTACCAGAAGTTCAATAATAAATTGGATTGAATGTTTTAGTGAAAGCAAGGAGATGGTTTAAAATGATATTTGTTCTATTGCCTAGCGAAAGCAAGTCGGTAAAAAAAATGTGTCCTTAGTTGAGCAATTCGTTTTGATAGATCGCCAAGTTACAGTAAGAAAAATAGTTGAATATGTATGTGAGCAATAATTTAACAAATATTTACTATAGCATTTCTACAAATGACACTATCTTATTTTTAAACATATGAGTATTTCGTTAACTTCATTAATAAGCCCATATTGTTTTTAATATTATTTTTTACATAAGAAAGTAACATATCATTTGTTTCAGTTTTGTTCTGACAACTTTAAAGTTGGCGCCTTAGAAAAATTGCTTGGCGACTAAAAGTTTCCATTGGCGACTGAATTTTTTGATAAAGCGCCAACTGGCGTATTAAACATTTACGTTCTACTTGGCAAAATGGATTCAAATGAAGAATATTCTGATTTAACCCAAAGAATTTAGAGAAGTCAAGAGTGCAAGGGATCATAGATAAAGTTTAGATCGTAATTGGGAGATGAAAACAGAAAGGAAAATACAGAATTTTGAAGTTAGACATTTTTACTGACAAATCAGATGAAGATTGTTTGAGGAAACCTGAGAGAAATCTTATGTAGTTCGAGTCGGACAATATTTAAAATACTGTCAAAACATAAAAAAGAATGTAGACGTTTCCTGGCCCTTTTTCAGAAGATTTTTTGCGAGAAGACGATCAGGGCTCAGTTACAATCCTATAAAGCATAATCGCAAGCGGAATATTGTTCTATGTACAAAGAGAAGATGTACAAGTGTTTCTGAAAGAGTTAAACGGGATGCTGGTGACACTTAACATTAAGCTTAATAGTGCTACGAAAGTATTGAAGTAACGCTTCTATTCGTGCTACTAATGGTCTTTTCTATCCTTTGTACTTGAAATATGCTTGAAAGATCATCGACTACTTTTAATCGGACAAATGAACAAACGGGTGCACTTAATTTGTATGAAAAAGTTTAATAATTAAACCCAAGATAACTCTTACAGACATTACATTTAGCAACACAATTACGTGTCTTATTTTTTAAAGAACGTGTACATGTACTGGACAAATATGTTAAACCACATAAATATTATGGAAACATTCATTATTTGAGTAAATTTATTACTATAACATTTATTTTGACCATTTGCATTATTTAATAAATTTTGTAATGGACAAAAAATATTTTTATTGATCTTTCGAAATTCGACTGCTACTTATAATCATTTTAGACTCTGGACTCTTTGTTGGACTTGATCATTTATTCTCTACAAAGCAAGTGGTATTTTATCAAGCTGCACGAAATATTTCAAGACTATGGTGGGAAAACACTCTTCTCATAGAATATCATTCTATGTTAACTTCCTTGTAATTGAACATAATATAATGTTTATATTGATAAGCATGTTTCAAATTCATGTATATGCGTTACAGTTTCCTTTCTTCTGTTCGCCACCATTGAATGCAAAATCGTTAATTACGTTACAAACGGCATGAATTGCTCTTGTTTTGTGAAAAAGAAAATTAGAATTGTAGATTTTTTTTAACAGTCTCTGCTTAAAAATGTAATGATTGGAATCTGATATTTCTATTAAAATCTATTGGGACCTACCAAAACCACCCGTATTGCGGGCAATATTTTGATCTTGTGATGAATAAGGGTTTGTACCAATGAATGTTATTACGAAAGTTAGGGTTTTTGACATCTAATAACCTATTTCCCCTACCAGGAAATGGAATAGTTTCATGCTATATACATGTAGATAGGCTGGACACACGTTACAATATTATTGATAGGTTAAATGGGTCTAGCACTTAGGTTGTAAAATGGCACCAACATCGCGCGTAATCTCGAAAGTGATATGTGTGATTCCCAATTTATCAAAATTTTAAAAAAGAAAATTTGTTGAGCTTTCTTCAATTTAATTTTAGTAATTTTATTGCACTGTTAGAATTTTAAAAATCCTGCTGAATGGCATTAATTTCTAATTGAAATATCCTATCGGTCGAAATTTGATTCTTTATCTATATTCAAAAACTAATAATATTTATATATTCAATAACCACTAATTAAATAGGCAAAATACGCAAAAAAATTAGAAAAGGCGTCATCTCTGAAGTTTTATAATTAACTCATGGTGAATCTTCCTATTGCTGTTAACGCCGATACATGTATTTCTGCCACACCATGAGAGATCAGTAAGTTCCGTCTATGAAAGCAAATATCTCTCTCTCTCTCTCTCTCTCTCTCTCTCTCCAGGCGCACTTAACATTCTAAAAGAGTGACGTTTTCAGAATTATCTAGATGTCCGCACTCAATCTCCTTATACAATTTGTTCAATGTCTCTTCACACTCATTTTAAACTAAGTCTATTTAAACTGAGCCCCCCTCTGTGTTAATTAACAATTATAAATGGTTTATGCTAAAAAAGTGTATGAAATGGACTTTTATGCCACTGTTGTCTTCTCAAAGAACGAAGTTTAAATTCGAGAAAGACAATTTGCATTGCCCGTAAATCGCTGCACATGAATTTAAAGTAGAGTCACAATAGTCCCAGCATTGGAAGATAATTTCAATAGCCTGAATAGTGCAACTTATGTGGACTGATTATGAAAACATTTTTTAAAATGCTTCAATATTGCCTTCAGTTGAATATGAATGAAATCGGCTTGAAATTATCGACAAAGATCTATAACATTAACACCACATATTCTATACAAATGTTATCTGCATGGAGTGCGAGGCAGCTTGAAAAATGCATGAAGCTAAGAAAAAAACTACTAGGGCACATAAAAAATCAAAGGTATGGTGAGCTATGACAATTTTTTCACCTTACCCTATACCTATAACAAAATAAAAAGTCTACAAACCAATGGTTGCTAATAAATATACTAGGCCTACCATCGATTTTGATATACAGTACGCATATAGAAATATAATGCTTTTTAATGACTGGCAGACTTTACCCCGAATTTCTGAATTTTTCCTTTGTGCAAGCAAACATGTTTTCTACAAAGTTAAAAAAAAAAGTGCAAAAATCATATGTTCATGTGTGTTTGTGATTGTAAAATTACTACCATTTTCGCATTTTATATGAATCGGTGGATAATTTGTTTGTACATGTAATCTAATTTAAAAATGACTTTGGATAATTGCTGAATTACTTTCATTTGTAAAATGTCATACCTCTCACTTTCTTTCGAGTCTTCTTCCTCAACTTTTCCTTCTCGATTTTCAGCGTTGTCTTTATTTTCCATGACTTAAACTTAATAGTTATGTAATAAAAATAAATTTCCCCAAAAGTCTGCTCTGCACTTAGAACTGTTCTTTCTTATTGTTTGTGGACGACGTAAGGGTAACCTTGAATTAGAGAACATATGAAGATTTAAATAACAAACTGGTAGAATACAGTCAGCTCCTTGGTGATATTCTGTCTGCCATGTCTGTTCAATAAAACCTGAGGCTTAACATAAAATAGAAAAAGTAATGGTTAACAAGGGCATTTAACTTACTGAAAAACATTGTTTTTATTGATTTTAATTCAACTATTTTTGCTTAGTTGAGCCACACTATCGGAATAATATCGTATGTCTGTCTTTGTATACATAGTTAATTGCATAGTTTTACAAAAAACTTTTATAAATTACTCAATGTTTGTCACAAAAAATCCTAAGAGGTAGTTTGATAAAGATTTTCAAACTATATTCTTCAAAACTGACCCTAGAGCGCAAAAATTCGATTTAAAAAAAACAGTACTGAAAAATGTCAGTACACAATGGTCATAGGAAAGCATTTTTTTAAAGGTTTCATGGCTACAGCGGCATTTTTTTTCCAAACCGAATCCTTTTTTTCTTCAGATATAGAACTATTAGTTTAAGGATTGATTTGGCAGTTGCTGAGAAAAATGAATTTGAAAATGAAGCAAATTTCTTCTATTTCTATGGCAAAGGTGACCATTTTGAAATTGTGAAAGCACCACTAGAATTGATGATAATCATTTCTGTGAAGTTTTATTAAGATTACTTAAGCCATGAAAAAGGTGAAGATACATGTAACGAACAGTTATTGATCTCAAAAAAATCTAAAACAATACAAACCTATGAACTGGGCATAAAATACGGACCCCCGGAAATTCTAGAGGTGGGATTAAGTGCCTAGGTATCCCCTGTTTACTTGACACACCAGCAGTGAACCCTAAGTATTGATCAGATAGACAGAATATTCAATAGTCAAACTAAGTACAAAAACAAAGCCCTAACAATTGGTATGAAACACTCAGCAACAAAAGGACCCAATGATAAATTGCATTTACTTTCAAGGTCATTATAAATATAATAGATTGTAAATAGAGTTTTGAAAATCTTACATTAAACCAGGTTGTTGAAATCCATGTAACGTCAATTTATTTGTCAGTAGCCTGCCTCGGTTTAAAAGTTGATCGAACTCAGTGCATTTTCTGAGCATTTGCAAACAAAATTATAGATTTATCAGTAACAATATATCCCTCCAAACTTCGTTCGGGGTGATCAAATAATCCAGTCCAGATAAATGAATTGAGTTTACTAGCGATCTTTCGATGCGCACTTGAGTTTCTCTTAACAATGTTTCGGTATGATCATGGATTTTGTAATAGCTGATGGCTAATCTAGTATAATACATTTACAACGAAGTGGAATGACAAGACAAAATTTAAAAAAAGACAAGTAGAATATTGGTTTTACATACAGATTTTATCAACAATATCAGAAACGAAAAGCATCAGTCTAAGAGGGGATCCATTATACATTATATACTTTCTTTTACTTAAGATAGTTTTGTGAAACAGCAGTGACAAGTCTTATGATTATCAAAAGTCACATCTTATGATTATCGAAAGTCACATCTTAAGGTAATCATAAGATCTATCTGATGACAAATCTTAAGATAGTTTTGTGAGATCCGGCCCAGGTGTTTAAGATAGGCACAGTAGTTGGCAATAATTAAGTTCCCCAAATGACAGTCGATGTTTCCGCTACTCGGTTTTGCGATGATATCGTAATGTGTAACCTAAGGGTTCGTTTTCAAAGGATAAAGGGTTTTCCTCTGGCTCGACTTGAGTCTACAATTAATACTTTGAATTAATATTATTTACAATAATTATTGTTGATTTACTGGGATACTTGTCCCGTGTTCTATTTTTTTTAAAGCGGTGACACAAACTTGGGTTCTAATTGTGTAACGTAGAGCTGGCTGGGCACCTTGCACTGTAATCCGTACATGACAAGGAGCACACGGCGGGTGTGAGCGGTCGGATGGGGATTTGATTAAATCAATATTTTATTATGCAAAGTCAAATCACATAAATGGATTGGACATCAGGCATAGCCTATACATGTATAAGTCCTCTCCAGGAAGGTCAGGGTTACAATGGAATTGACAATAATCATGTGTAATGGTTTACAATTAATTATGGAATTGTTTATAATAAGTTATATTAATTTCTAATGTAAACTAGAAACGGAAGAAATGAAAAAGATAAATTATACACACGATTTGTTACCTAGCATATATTCTCATTATACAATACAATGAAAATAAAATAAAAGGGGATGCTCACTCCTCCTAGGCACCTGATCAAATATCTAAATTTTGCGGTCTGTGTCTGCCCTGCTCCAAATTTGTATCGTTTCATTGGACTTTCAAGATTACTGTACGTTATCTTCATATTTCATTCCACAACCAAGTTCTAAGAGTACTCGGTGTCTCACCCTTATTCAGGATTACTGCACCTTGTATCTTCAGATCCCCTGGTTTACTTTTCATTAGTGCTACTACTTCCACCCTTTCAAACTTCTCTCACTATTGTCACTTTAATAATTACCTATTTTTCTTCTTTTGTAACTTCTGATCAATACAGACGTCTGACTTCAGAATGACATAAACTGCCTCTGCAGCCTTTAATATAGAAAAGGGCTATACCATCAAACAGGGGTGAGCAGGCTCCTGGACTATACCATTAGTCCTAGTCACATCAGTGTTTGGAAGGTATAGGCCCATTGTATTACTCATTACTCTTTACAATATTTTGACAGTTAACCTATACGTTAAAAAAAAAATCCGAATTTTTGCATCCAGATATAATGAAATATATGGAGATAACGAACAGTATTCAAGCTCAAAAGTCCATTATACAATACAAAATAGGAGCAGCGATATAAGCAGCGATATCGATTTTGGTTTAATTTTTTTCTTAATCCTAATTCCGTTTGTTTATAATTGCCGTGGGAAAAATTTGACACAGGAGGCAAGAAAAATCATCGTAAGTTTATTCAAGAAAGGTTTTCTGGCCATAACTTCTAAACAAAAAAAGCACTGGAGTAAATCCCATGACTGTAAATGAATATATAAAACGAGTGAAAGAAAGGGGAAAGGAAGAAAACTTTCCAAGAAATCGCAGGCAGAAAAAAAAACTGACTATACAGCCGATCTTCGACTTTTTCGGATGGTCCAAAACAACCGAAGGCAGACCTTAGAAAACTACCCAAGTAAATTTATCAACAATTCTGTTGAAAGTGTATTTCTTCAGTGACTTTTAAAAGATAAAAGACATGTTCTTTCTAATAAATCATGATTAGGAGAGAAAACAGATCTCGGCGCATCGATTTTTGTGTACAGATATGATGGAAAGTTGAAAATAACTTCCAAATTGATTTTATGGACAAACTAACCAAAACACTAACTAACACACACACGTAGCGCGTTACTTTAAATTAAGTACAATCTCGGCTGTGTTCCGGGGCTGTATCACCTATAATGGTGTCGGAACAATTACACTTATTTTGGAAACATGAATTCCAATATCTTTATTGAAACTTTAGATTTACAATGACCTTGTCAGCAAATACAATTTATCATTGAGTCAAATGCTGACTGACGTCTTTCATACTTATTGTTAGGCCATTATTTACACACTGAATAGTCGACGGATTTTTCCGTTATTTCCCGATCATGACAAGGAGCACACGGCGGGTGTGACCGGTCGGCAGGGGATGCTCACTCCTCCATCGCACCTGATCCCACCTCTGATGTCTTTGAGGTTTGTGTTTGCTCTGCTCCTATTTTATTTTGTGATGTTTAATGGACTTTTGAGCTTGAGTACTGTTCGCTATCTCCATATATTTCATTTCTAGTAAAAATGTAGTAAAGTCACATTTAAATCAGTAAAACATTCCATTTTGTATATGTTTATGTTGTTATTACTTACTTTGCAGATTTACATGTATTTGTAATATATTTTCAATTTTAGGGCTCAATCAATCAAACAAGATGTATTAAATAAACAAGCAAACCCTCACAGAGTGTCTTATTCTTATTGGACCTGTAATAAAAACATCTTACATTTGGTAGTTTAATTGAAAAGGTTAATCACTCATATCGATATGGTAAATTACATATAAAACAGTTCTCTATAGAATCCCTTTATCTCTAATTATAATTATGTCCAATTTGATTGATAAATTAGGTATATTCGTTTTTTTTTCTTTTAACAATAACACAGGTATTACTTGTATATAATATAGAAAAAATAGATGATCAGATTAACCATCTCGAGCAACTATATAAGGACTTTTAACCAAACTTTTTTTATGAACTCTACCTTTAAAATGTAAAAGATGATTTTAAAAAATTTGTTCCAGAACATTAAACAAAAACTTGTTAAAAATTAATGTAATCTAAAGTAACCGCAAGTAATCATGATTACATAATGGAAAAGAAATCAGATGTAAATGATTACTTTTAAAAATGGCTGTAATCAGCTTATAATTGATTACTTTTAAAATCCAAAGTAATTGCAATTTACTCGATTACTTTTGAAGGTAATCGACCTCATCCCTTAACAACATAAAATCAATCAATCAGATTCACCTGTTAATCTAGGGAAACATGCATTATTTACATATTTCCTGTATATATCGGTTGCAAAATATATGATTAATTAAATGTTTTGTAATTGGATATGGAATTTATTCAAAGGTCGGGCATGGTTTTTAAAAATATTTTTACGAATGAGAAACACAAAATATCAAAAAAGCCTGTTTCGTGACTGTAATAAATTCGATATTCAACTACAAACCAATGAATTCTCTGTTAATTACATAATTACATATTCTTGCATTTTCCTTTTGTCTCTGTCATTTCGTAAGCAGTGACGTCTTAGGTGAGCAGTTGTGAGACGTTATACATAAGAGATTGTGAAATTGAATTATGGATATTAAGTCACACTGCATATTACTCCTCTCCTAAGCTTTTGAAAAAAATATGTAGAAACCTCTAATGATGCATTGTGAATATAACGAAGGGTGATTATTCTCAAAAGCCCATTTAAACAATACAAATTATGAGCAAAGCCAACATGGACCTCTAAAAATAAATGTGGGATCAGGAGTAAGCATCCACTTCTGATCAGTCACATTCGCCAGATGCCCTTGTGATGAATGGACAAACGAAAAAATCCGGAGTCGAGTCAGTGTCAAAATAATGGCTGAACAATTTGAATGAAAGAGAGTATGAGGTGTTTTTTCAGAAATGGTTTTTATTACAGACCCTGAAGAATTTTTTATACGGAGAATAGGAAAAGTAATAATTATTATATCAACATAAAATAAAAATATAAGATGTATATGGAAAAAAAAATTAATGTCATACCTATTTATTTCATATAGGAAAACATAATAGATATGTCTTTGTAAGAAAAGAATACATATACATGTAATAGCAAAGAGTTGTTCTATAAAGAAAATGTTATACTAATAAAAATTCTACATTGGTACCTATATGGTATATAAAGACAGAACTTATTCAACTTCTTAGGGTTTTAAAACTGGATCTTCTTTTCTTAACACTAAATACATGAAGCACTTGATATAAGAATTTATCATTAAGTCAAATGTTGACTGACTTTTTTCATACTAATTGTTAGGCCATTATTTACACACTGAATTGTCGACTGAATTTTCCGTTATTTCCCGATCATGACAAGGAGCACACGGCGGGTGTGACCGGTCGGCAGGGGATGCTCACTCCTCCATCGCACCTGATCCCACCTCTGATGTCTTTGAGGTTTGTGTTTGCTCTGCTCCTATTTTATTTTGTGATGTTTAATGGACTTTTGAGCTCGAATACTGTTCGTTATCTCAACATATTTCATCATATTGAGTGTTTAATACCCAAAATATGAAATTTTATTAGTGCAAAAAGGTCGCACAATAATTTAAGCCAATTATTGGCAAAGTATTTTATTTAAAATATTTTACATAAAATAAGATTACAAAGATTACATTTAATGTGATTCTACATCTGATAAAATATGTTTGAGGCTTAAGTGATTGATATAAATATTTAAATATAAGTTCATGTTTATTGTACTGTTGCTTAGAAATCTGCACACTTTCCCCCAATTTTCTTCCAAATTATCCTGTATGAATTATATCTCAGAATTTACGCAAGCAACAATTTTATCAGGATCGATCTGCTCTCTTGCGAAGGACATGCTCCGCTTTGCTGTGCCTTTGTTCATTCTAGAGCTACTTATCTGATATGTATACCTGGAATTTTTTTTTGAGGGGGGGGGGGGGATACTCCAAGTGAATTGAATGAAAACAGAATTTTGCCGTACTTTTGATATGTTCACAGTGAAAATGTCAACTTTGATTTTTTTTTTACTGTGAAAAAATCCTTTTACAAAATATACTTTTCTTCAATGGATTAATCATAATAATATTTCACTGTTGAAAATTATATTGTCCTATCGGGACCCGGAGACCACGATTTGAACAGAGGAAAATGATCATACATCCTCTATAGTTATGTTCGATGTTTAAGCTTCAGTTGTTCAGAGTCTGTCACATCTGTTATATATTGAGACAATTTATTAGAAAAGGACGTTAATGGTTACTTATCAACAAAATGTTATGATAAACGTGATGACTTCAACTTTTCCATCATCAACTTCCCTTACTTATGTAGCAACCATATCACGTGCATATGGGGTTTATGTCTCCCACTTGATTCGATACGCAAGAGCATACTCTACGTACGATCAATTTTTAAAACGAGGCAAACTATTATCCAACAAGTTGATGAAACAAGGATATCAACAGTCTCGTTAGAAGGCATCATTTCGCAAGTTCTTTGGTCGATGCAATGACCTTGTCAGCAAATGCAATTTATTATTGAGTCAAATGCTGACTGACGTTTTTCATACTAACTGTTAGACCATTATTTACCCACTGAAATTTTTACGGATTTTTCCGTTTAGCCGATCATGACAAGGAGCACACGGCGGGTGTGACCGGTTGCCAGGGGATGTTTATTCTTCCATGGCACCTGATCCCTCCTCTGATGTTTTTTGGAGGCCCGTGTTTGCTCTGCTCCCGATTTGTATTGTTTAAATAGACTATGAATACTGTTCGTTGTCTCCGTATTTCATTACAGAAGTAATTAACGTTAAAAAAAATCTCTTTTCATTGATTATTATACAATAATGTATTTCGGATTCATTGACTCAACTTAATTTGTTGTGGCATTTAAGGAACAACTGTCTAGTTATTTTTTATGATATGATCATTCAGTTTGCTCGCGTGATAATTTGCATAAACGCCGAATGCGTTTATGTGTAAAATTATTACACAAGCGAAAAGTGTTTATGCGTAAAATTCTTACGCGAGGAAACTGATTGATAATCATCATAAACAAAGCAAAAAAAACAATAAAATAATAATAAAATTTAAAGAAAAAACACACACAAACAAACAAACAAACAAAAAACCTCAGTTTTTCCTTATATTTATACTTTACCTGATCCTTGATTCAATAAAAAATATTCTTATTCAATAAGAAGAAATCTCGGCATCCCCGCCCGGTGTTTAACTAAGCAACACAGCGAGAAAGCATGCAGTTCAATGATGTGCTGAGCAAATCACTCTATGAGGTTATAAAGCTACATGTATTAAATAGCTTATTTGTAAACAAAGACAAAGACATTTGAAAAATGTAAATACTATACATTAAAAATTTTCTCGAATGTATTATAGCACCTTGTATTAATACCCATGAACTACAGATACCTTAACTAAGAACTTGACAAGCTAGATGAAAACAGAGACGGTTTCATCATCAGTCAGTACCTCCAACTTCGAGGTTAGAATTATTATTCAGCTTTAAATTAATTATAATATTAAAAGATTTGAGTTAATTAACATTATTTAATGTATTTATTAAATTCGGTTGCAATAAATAATGCACCTTATGGTCATTACGATCATCCACAAATTTCAAATCAATGAATTCTATTTCAAACAAGCATATACACAATCATGCACATACAAAGCAATACTAGAAATCACTTTTTTGTCTTTACACTATTTACAGCAATTTTGCAATCTTACGACAAAGGATTTTATACCATTATTTTTCCTGTAAACTTTTTTTATAATTGTTTTAGATAGAACATGTTTATTCCTTTCAAAGTAAAATATGTGTTTTTATCTAAATCAGGAACAGTTTATCATGTCGGAAAGAACAGTGTATGTAAGGTGTCACCATCACTAGATTTACGGAGCTACCTGACAAAACTAATTGCTTGTATTGAGCAGAAAATTGAAAGCAAAAATACTCTTCCTGCAGTATTCATTTGATAAATAACTTAAAAATTAAGACTGTCTATTTCTATCACATGAATCACATGTTTTGTGCAGTTAAATCATTGCTAGCGTGGAAATGTATATTCTATCAAATATATTTACATAATTTCTTTACTTCTACTTCGAAAACATTTTATAGCAAAGTCTGACAGATTATTGTTCAGAAAAAGCATCAATTTGTAAAAGACTACCCTTCACCAAGCCGGCTCGGTAAATTTTCAAAAAGTTTCCTGAAAAATGACAAAGGAATTCGAATGTTTCTTGTGAATGCGAAGTGTTGCGATGTCCCACTGTTCCGAAACACAAGTACGGGAGTTGCCTCTAACTTGAACCCTCTCCCCTGAATTTTTGAGTTGGCTTTCAGTGTAACTATTGCAAAGTTTCCATCCGACACTAGGGTTTGGTTTATTAACTGTGTACCACAATATCTGAAAATAAACAAGTGTTTTGCCAAATCAAGAGTAATATATTTTATAATTAATTTATCTTAAAGCCCAATGACGACATATAGTATTTAATCATCTTAAAAAATATAATTTTTTACCCTTTTCTTTGTTTATGTTTCTTTTTATTTCAGTGATCATTTTGATTGATAATTTTTTTTTAAATTTAGACTTTTAAACTTTCCAGAGTTAATGGATTATAACGGTGAATCTTAAAACAAAGCAATCTGTCAGTGTCATGAATTGGAAATTAAACTTCAATTGCGAAATCATTTTGTGTTATTGTCTCATGCAATGATATTCTTTCTATAATTAAAGTGCACACCAATTTCAGTGATCTAATGGGTTTGCCAAAATTGGTTGATTAAATGTATTTTTAGGAATGTGTTAGTAATTTGCACACTCTTAATACATGATGTAACAAGTTGGTTACTATATATGGAATACATTATAAGACATTTAAAAAATATTTTATTGATAAACATTAGTTTAGCGAAGTCGTGTACATGTATAACATTCCTCTACTTTGTCTAGTATCTAAACATAAATTCATGCTTATTTTTTCTGAAATCAAACGCATTTTAATTTTCTGCAAATCAAACCATGAAGGAGAACCAAAGTCAAAAGTCCAGTAAGATCGAAATTAATATAAACATGTACCTTTTTCCTGGAATAGATACGTCAGTACCTAGCTGTACTTCAACATAGTCATTCCTGCAGTCTTTTGAATACTCCAACAAGAAATCTTGAAACGTCAACTGAATCTTTCGGTTGTTCGAATCCTGTTTACAAAATTTTAATATTATCAATCACAAAGAATCATGTATAAATAACTGGATTTTTAAGAATTCAGCGAAGCAGAAAGACTTAAAATTATTGAAATAAAAAAGTCTGGATTTTTTTATGTAAATCTAATATCTTTCAAATCTAGAATTCGTTGTACTCATAACTTTTGACGTTATTGTCGGTAAATAAAAAAATTGTATCACCCTTAAAAGTATACCTTTATTTCATTTTCAATATTTAAAGGTTATCCAAGTGAAGGAATTATACTGGACTGAATAGAGACAATTTAAGGATGCTTTTTTAATACAACAATGAAAAAAGCCATTCATTGCGCAAATTTTAATGTAATATTTTCCACATGAATCGATAGATGTATTTCATGACTAGCTATGATTAAATTGACGACACTCACTTTAAACACATACTGGCAAGTGATATCGGACGGGTAAAGATCTGGATAATTTGGTGATGTTACATCAGTACTTTGATGCAGCTGAAATTTTCCACCACACGACGGGTCTATATTATTTGTATAAAGAAATAAGAAATAAATTTATTTCAGAGAGTGAATTTGTCTTTGTCCTTTTTAACACAGGCCATTTCAAATTTTAAATGCAACTAAACATTACAATCGATCATGGTAGAACCACAGGTGCTTGGGGACGGGGCTCCCTCCCCCATCCAATACCCTTAGAGTAATTCGACTTTTCTATGACATATGTACAAAGTATAACAATAATAAAGTCCAAAATATAACCTAAAATTATCCTTTTATAAAAAAATCACTCACAGATACTTATAAAGGAAATAAGGTTGGCAACTTCGAAAGAAGACTTTCGACACCCCGATGGAAAATCCTCAAAAAATCATAAGTTGATTGGGAGCGGAACAACCCCCTCCCCCCACCGCGTTAAGTACCCCAAGGGTTCTTCAACTTTTTAAAAATAAAATATCTGTTTCCAACCTTGTTCTTTTTAAGATTCAGAGAGTGTGAATTTTTTAAAAAAGTTAGTTTTAGACTATATTTTGGATTCTCCACTTGGAATACTTTGTGAATATGTGAGAGAAAAAGGAATCATAAAAAGAGAGTCGAAGAACCCTTGGGGTACGGAACTTTCATGGGGGAGGGGGTCCCCTTCATAAGCACCTGTGCAAAAATGAAGATTAAAGCTACTTACCGATTGTAAGTAAAGGTTACCATATCTTCCGAGATTATTTATTAATTGAAACAACGTTAACTTTTTACCTACATGTATTGAAAGAAGATGGATGAACAAGGCGAGCGAAGTGCCTATAGTGCGACAAACATGAAGTGAAAAATAAAATCTCAATTATATCAAAATTTTCTTTGATATTTCATCTAACATTAAAGTATACTTTATGTAAAATCTCATTAATTTACAGAAATCTCACGAAGACTGAAATTATTTCCCTACAAAATAGCATACACACACTAAAGAGGACAAAAAAGATCATTTTCTCATACTTAAACAAAATTTCTCGATATGAGTGGGTCTTCGCTCCATTTTTTTGAAAGTTAATCCTAAAAGTTTGCATAAAAATATACATTTTTTGGATTACAAAAACATGGAGCAAAGACCCACTATATCTTAAAAGTACACTTTTATGACAATGTATTCGCATCTTTCCGAGAAATACATAAAGTCTATTAAGTCAAGGGTCATATCACAAACATGATTTAAATGCAACTATTCATCAGGAGTTGTGTAGCGTAGTGGTTAGCGTGTTAATCTGAAAGCAATATTATACTCCGGATTTTTATTGTTAGGGGTTCGAATCCCACGAATGCCATTTAATTTTTTTTTTATAAAAGAATACTTTTTCCAAGATCTTTCTTTCTCAGAAAAGTTTTGTTGATCATCATTTCATAAATTTCAATAATGAGAACTTTACTTTAAATACTTAATTCACAAATTGAATACGATTTTTAATAACTGAAGCTATAAGCATTCTGCACGCCTTGTTCACCCATCTTTTTTTAAATTCGTTATAACGAATTCAATAATTCTGTTATAACAGATTTAATTCGTTACTACGAATTCAATAAATTGTTATAACAAAATAAATGCGATATAACAAATTCGATAATTTGTTATATGGAATTCAAAAATATTTTTGATAGGTCCTAAAGGGGCTTCCGTATATGATCGTGCCAATCATGTTCTTTTAAGTATCTCATAGTTTTTTGTTTTTCTTTAAGGAGTAGTGATTTTTATTAAAATTTAGTTTTAGATTATATATTTTGGACTTCTCTATTGTAAAACTTTGCAAATGTGTCAGATAAAAAAATATCTTATTTCAAAACATTCGAAGAACCCATGGCGTATGGAAAGGGAGTTGAAATGGAGGTCCCAATTCAAGCACCTGTGGGTAAAACTACCTCATCACAGAAGTATAAGTATCTTTTGAAGTTTTCTTTGATGACTTTTTACCTTATTGCAACAATAATTTAGTGGTTACGAGGACGAATAAGAATCAATTCTTACCAAATGGCGCGGTACAGAAAACGCCATTGTCGGATTGTTTGTCACACCCACTGTTAATTATATCTGTCCCATTAAATACAGCACAGGGCGTGTCTGATTTCTCCTTACTTAGCCTGTGGATTTAAATGATTGTTATTAAAATTGTCACAACAGGGAAAAGTATAAGATCAAACACAAATAATTTTATCTTAGTTATAAATTACGTCATATCAGTGGCCTTTGTAAATGTTGTAGATTGTTCAAAGTGGAAGCATAGGAAAAGTTTTGAAGTATATCATTTATACAATCACTTTTTTGTTGCTTGTAAATAAATTGAGCAAAACAAATGTATTTATCATTATGTATATAGTACATGTATATAGTACATGTATAAATGACAAACCATTCTTGATGTTTTAGTTCATTCCCGTCCGTCCATATGTACTTTCCCGAGGCCTTATTATAATTCAACCCCAACCAAAAACTCTTACTCGTACTTAGTTCTTTGTTTTCTAGAACAAGGTCGGCCATTGTATCCTATAGAAATGCAAAGCGTAGTGAATAATGTTGGAATATATATCGTCAAAAAAGATGTCAATTAGGCGTAGGTGGTCACCAGCTTTTCATGAATATTTCCATATATAATGTTTATGCATTTAAATGATTTAGAGCTGCATATTTTCAGTTGAAATGAAATGGAAAGTAAACTCTTACAAATGTTTCCTGATCCTTGATGATAGGGAGGGACCCACTATTTTGTTGACAGAACGTCTGTGCCTGTCTCCAGGACAGTGACGTCACACTAGAAAAAAAATTATAACACATCCCAATCCTGAAAGTCCATCCATTCCGGCATCTCCAAGTTATAACTGCAAAAGTTACATAATTCATATGTCAACAGCCTTTTAGAGCACACGGTAAACAGAAAAAAAATCTTATTTCATTATTTTAATGGAAAGATTACATAGTCATGATGAAATATAAAGTAGGTTAAAAATACTAACTTCTGCTTGCTCCTGGTAGGCGTTTCTCGCAGTAATTACCATGATAACCGTCGGGACAAATACATTTACAGGACTTGCCTCCAACTATCCCACCGTTCTCACAATATCCAGTACATTGCCCTGGGAGAAATAGCCGTCAATTATCGATAAAACTTTACAAAAAGATGTTAATTCTGTAATGATGTTTTTAAAGGATTCACTGACTATACCTACAGCCACAATGATATCGTCTATGGATATATAATTTGTCGTAGAAACTGACATCATCTGCGTTCCCTAACACGGACTGGTATTCGGGCTTCAGTGTAACCATGGTAGGATCTCCATTCCAGGACCATATCTGAAAATATATTCACTACAGCATTGAATGAAATTTGGCAAGAGTTTTAATACTTTAGTGCTTTAGGAATGTAGTAGACATATATTTACCGTGGGACTGTATTGCATAATGCTTTTATAGTCATATGGCACGCGTAATGCAAAATACATGTATCCCCTGTCTCTCATAGTCATGAAGTTTCGGTCGGCACCGGGTTTAATGTTTTGAATCCGGACGTCAATAAATGAGTTACGATCATCGCGAGACATAGGGTGAATCATTCCAAGGGCGTGGCCAAGTTCATGTAGAATTACAGGAATCTAGCAACCAACAATGTTTAGAATCACAAACAGTTCAAATAACACATGAAACCACTTAATGTGACGGTTCTATGAAATGACAAAAATTTACTTAGTACTCACAGACATACAACCTTTACTAAGCCCCAGTAACTGAGGGCGTTGGTTTATACTTCTACCTATATCTGAAAAACAACTGTGAAAACATGTTTCATTAATTATATTTATTACATTTTCAACAGTGAAAATACTGCAATTTATTTTATGATTGAATAAAAATGATATTCTATCACAGTACTAGCGTGAAAGAATATCAGACGTATGGCAGATTTTCCTTCACGAAGAATGTTGTAAAAATAATTCCCGGCCTGTTATAAGATAGAGAGAATAAATAAACCATCCTGACAGAGACTAAAACTGCCAAAGTTTCTCCAAATATGCTCTTTGAAACCCAATGTTTCCGATGTTTTCAGTCTCACAATTGCTAAGCTTTGACGTCTTAACCGCTCAACTATGATGTGACAGCCTATGATAAGGTGTTATGAAAACTTTAAGACAGAAGCAAAGGGCAAATCAAAGAAAAATGTGATAAACAGAAATTTTTTTTTGTAGTTGGATATGGAATTTATTTCACGAGTGAGACATGATTTTTTATATATATTTTTTACGAGTACTTCGCACTGGTGAAATAAATTCCATAACTAACTGAAACTACAAAACATTGAAAACCCTCTATGTAATCATCACTTATCCACAAGTACTTAGTGATTTTGATATTTCTCTTTATTGATTAAAATAGTAAGGAAGATTTTTTATCAATAGAGAGAAATGTTTAAAAAGTCAAATACGTGTGGATAAGTGAGAATATGATGTACAAGTAACTTACTCAATGTTGCAATGTTGGCTTTTTGCTGTCAATTAATTTTACTTTAGAAAAATATTATCTGTTGTAATTACTTTTGATGTCCAGTTGAAGACATCCAAGAAAAATTGATTAATATCTACTTAATTGTACATAATAGTCACCCAATATCTCACCCAATTATCATTTTATGAGGTGAATAAAGGAGAAGGTACGGTTTTAGCTTTATTGTGCCCTAAAAATTTAATGTTATCAAAAAGTTATGAAACTGGCTTAAATATAAGTTGAGTATATGACAGTGATGAATCAAGAAAGAATATGGCATGAATGAGTACCATTCTAGAAATATGACGTCATTAATTTGATACTTTTCTCCATTTTAAACAGAAAAGCCTCAAAGCGACCATTTTCAAGGTTATTTTCCCTAAGAAAATAGTGTCCACAGCCGTCGCCCACTTTAATTTTCGGATATTGCGTAAAAAATTTAAAAAATTAAAAAAAAAACAACATATTTTAAAATCTTTGTGGGCGATGCCTGTGGACAATATTATCTGCAAGAAAATTCCATTGAAAATTGGTGTCTTCTGCTTCTTTTTAAGAAAATACGGGAAAATGCTCAAGTTTATGACGTCACAATTAGCATTTAGAATCTCATGTGAGAAAAATGATTTATATGATCTTTCTGCAAGGAATTTCAATGATTCGGAAAGCATGAGCTTAATTTTTTACATCACATTTTTTTAACAAAATCACAGGGCAAGACTTGTATTGAAAGCGTACCTTGTTCTTTGAAAAATAGTTCTAATGAATCATGATCAGTAGTTCATTAACGCTTGATAAATCTAAATCTGAACGATATACAATAATACAAGTACTACATACGTAGTGGAGTTGTAGAATTTGATGTAAAACTCCGGTTTTCTAGCAGAGTCAGACAGGGGAACAAATTTGATGCATGTTTGTTTTTCCCATCGGTTCATGGCAACCCGAATTAAAGCCCTCGATTGCTTATCTGGAAAATTGAAACTGATATAATTTTTTTAAATCATTAGAAACTCTAGCATATCCACATAGCACATACGTTTGTGGTGTTTTAAATGTAAATGACTATCTCCGTTTTGGTGTTTTAGATATAAATATATAATATAATACTATTTTGAAAAACATTAAGAAATTCAGTTTTCATTCAAGAAACTGATTGAGCGCCTTGAAAGAGATCTATGAAAGAATATTTTTAAATTATTTAGATTGGTGTACGGTTTGTGGTTTTAGGTTAAGCGAGGCAACAAATCTAGCTATTAATAGACAGTGATACGTTATATGAAGTGTTTACGCATTACCAAAACTGTTTTCTGGAATTTCATATGGCACGATTCCATCTGGCCAAGTATGAATGGGGACCAGGGGTCTTCTTGTTCTCTGACTCGTGATTACTTCCTGTGTATGTGTGAAGCGACATGTGTCATTAGAAATTTCTTCAGCATGACATGACAAACAAGCTTTTCTGGTGTAAATCAGCAAAATCAAAAACGAAAACTTACCATTTTGGTAATCAGGAACAATACTCCATACACAACAAGACCAGACATCTCGTGCATTTGAATGATCTCGGAAAAAATAATTTATCTGTAGTTAAAAAGGAAGATTTGTAAATTTCCTTTTAATACCGTATATTTCACACGATAAATCATGCTACGTGACATATCACTTAGTTTTTGTTTCCGTATATATAATTTGTACTTGTGCTTTTATTTCTACTTGAAACAATGCAAAACTTCTGTATTTTTTTTTAATTTCACCAACCTTGACGGATGTAAAGTAATGAGTTATTAGTAATAAACTTAGTAAAATACTGGAGTTGTGACACATGTAATTATTCTATTCTTGTCATGACGTGTTACCGACATTGTTTAAGATTTGTTTTTGCTGCTGTTTGACATCAGGAACCTATAATGCAGATATTTCTCTTTTAAACTATATGTCGTAAATGAAAATATAAGATCGAATAAAACATGTTAAATTGCGGCGGGGCGTTTGACTAGGATGATATATCTGTCAAGTGTGTCCTAAGTGGAACTCACCGACGACGGAAACCTCGCGTACAGAAAAGTGGCATTACTATTGATAGGGTATTGAGAAAACCAAAATTTAAGCTATCACTTGTATTTTACTAACTGATTTAGCTACTGAATCATGCATGCTGACTGACCTCAAAAATATTTAAATGAGGACTCGTAAAACATTTATGTTGTCTCTATCAATTTTTGAATTTATGGATTACATGCGGATACTTTTTCTCGGTTCTGAGTTTAGTATCATTAAAACAATTCAAAAAGAAGATGTACACTATTTATTATATATCTACTGATTTTTCCTATATAAAAACTAGATCGTTAGATGTAAATACGTAGTTCCACAGAACACGCTGTAATTTGACTAGTCACGTTAGTCACTTCAGCTGACCCCTGTTTCGAAACTAACTAACGTTTTTCCGTAATTCTCTAGTAGACTTTTCTATTGTATCGGTATAATAAAACAGTTTAGATATACATCATTTGGGAGTTTAGCAAGATTCCAGTTCTTCTCGACCAGGACTAACATATAGTCCTGTCCTCGAGGAACTGGAATCTCTCCAACTCCCTCAATGATATTCTTTAACTGCAAAATAAACACGGGAAAACTTTAAACAAACTCTGACTTTTTTTTTTTTTTTTTGTAAACTTATAATGAGATTTAGAACAGTTGTTCAAAGATTTCGAACGATCTTAAGATAGAAATTTGGACGCTTACTTACTGGGGTTCTTTGCACCACACCCTGACTAAACACATCAGACCAGATAGTAGCAGCAGGACTTCTCACACCCTGACCAAATACAACAACCCTGGCAGTAGCAGCAGGACTTCTACTCACAGAAAAAGTTGACTCTATACCAAAGAGTTTTTAACAGAAGAGGAACCGGTCTACACTATCTTAGTTTTACTTAATAAATATTTTTCATTTCCCTTTATTTGTTATTGAATATTGGATCCCGATTGTACAATTTCTTTTTTTCTATACGTTTATGAAAAGTGCATCAAGTTTTTAATCAGAAGATTATTATGTTTTTCACTAAGTGTGGGAAGATTGATACAATCTCTTTGAAAGTTTACTATAACAAGGGTACCTTAAAATCAACAGATGAAAAGTATAGTATTGCTAAATTAACAGTATACAATCGTCTACGACAGCGTTATATTTTCATATATACTGAATTTAATAGAACAACCATAATAATTTTCAATTAGAATTGTTACATGTACATTTTACGTAATGGATATATGCCGAATACTGTTCTATATGTAAAATTATCAGACTGTTTGAGGCCCGTTAGGGCCGAAAACAGTCTGATAATTTTACATATAGAATTGTATGAGGCATTTATCTTACTTAAAACATTGCTATTTAAATGTCCAAAAGTTACCTGGAGGAGTCCGATAATTACACAATAGGAGTTCAGGGATCAATAGTTTTCTACCTGAAACCATCTAATAAGTAGACAAAAGAAAAGAGAAAGTTTTTTTTTTCTTTAGACAGTAAAATCAGTGAGTGAAATCTTTTGTTTCATTCATTCAATGGCAGTCGTTTGGCTTAGCAGGAACTATGGTCAGTGGTCAGTTGATTAAGGATTTTTTTATGATTTGGAATATTTTTTTTATTAAGTGCGTTTGACATTGATACAGATACAGTGTTGGATGATATCTTCAAAATGCATTTAAAGTAAAAATGCGGATTTTTATCTAAAATTTTGATTGGATCTTGGGTTTTAAAAGTGCGGCCATTGGCGAACAAACCTCGTTAAATGAAGAGATTCGCAGACTGGTTCTTTATCAGAAATGGATTTAAATTGGCTTATTCACAGTGCTGTATCGAAAATGCTTTGCAAAAAACCGAATGGAAAGTGTTACTTTTGAGGAAGGTTAAAACTCCAGTTTCTTCTTGGATTTGCTTTTTTTAACAACTTAATTTTCCTCGCGTTTGCTTTCCCTGACTTTTTTTCTTCCTAACTTGTTTTTGGTTTCTGGACAAATTAAACCTTGATTTCACTCTAGTTGTTGTTTTTTAACTACTCTCCGATTTTGTTATCACTGCCGTCCGATAAGATATTATTGAACTGTTAATTATTATTATCGGACGGCTACAGGTAAATTTTTGGACTGCAAGAACAAAGGCATGACGTCACAGCAATGTTTTAATTAGAGTTATCTAAGGATGCCAAGATGCCAATTTCACTCGAATGGACTAGTCGAATAATCGGGGCTTTACTCGAGCGATAATCGAGTACTCATTAAGATAATTTTCCCTTGTCAGTGTAACTTGTATACCTGTTTCATTTTCAGACTGCTTCTAAACTCCATGTTTATATCTATAGCTACTATCACATACAATGTACATCTCAATAATACAAGTATTTATACATAATAAACAATCAGTGATATTTACGCATGAATTTACATAATTATGATAATACAACAAATGTTAACGAGTATTCGAGTACTCGACCATCGCTCGATCATACCGACTATCGACTAAATATTTTGTACTCGGTTACTCTTTAAAAAGTTCTATTTAATAATAATTCTAAATTCAAGGTGATAAATTGAGAGATTTTTATTTCTTCTGAATCAGTTGGCTTTCGTCATCAACACTAAAACACTCTCTGATGCGATTCAAATCACATTTTTTCTAACAAGGATGATTACATATACATGTATTTTTAATTGGGGAGAAAGATAGGCTGTTTGCACAAAATTGTATTAAGATTTATTGCAAGCTTTTCTGTTTTGACAATAAGTACACTGAACTTTATACCATTCAAGGTCAATAATATAGCTGGATCTAGACACGTAGCGTCAACTGATACATCAATTACATATTTATTAGCGTCTGAAGAAATGGGAAATCATAATATTTGATAAAGTGTATTAGATAAAATATATAATAAAGAAAACTCTTGTTCAGGAACATGTTGTACGGGTATTTCCTCTGTTTTATAAAACAGAAATGATACGAAAGCACTAAAAAATGATGCCTAAAAAATGAAAAAGTCACTTTAATCTTCAATGCAAGACAATTCCGTCTTACATGTGTATACTAAATGTCGTGAAAGAAAGTTGGTTATAAATTGATTATGAATTATTGGTAATTTTTTTTTGATAATGATAAGAGTGAAAAGGGCGAAGATAACGAACAGTGATCGATCTAAAAAAAAAAAAAAAATACTACAAATACAAATGTGAACAGGGCATAATAAACGGACCCCTGGAAAGTCAAGACGGTGGATCAAGCTCCGGGGCCATTAAACTTAGATAAGCTCGCTTTTGATTTCAGTCTCACTTTTACTAAAGGAATGTATATGGGAAAAGTGAGGCTGAGATAGAAGTGAGCTCATTTAAGTTTTATGGCCCCGGAGCCAGGTGCCTTCAGGGAGTTAAATCAAGTAAGCATCCCCTGTTGACCGGTCACACCCGCCGTGAGCCATAGGACGGAATAATCCGTAGTTAAAATATAAATGCAATGGCCAGCTAACAAGTGGTATGATACATTTCAATCAAAATAAGACCCAATGATAGATTGTATTTGTAAACAAGGTCGTTGTTATTGAAGTTACAAAATGCTGAGGGGTTAACAATTAATCGTATGTAGAGCTCTGACGATTTAGTTACTTAATTAGTACATGTTAACTTTACCTGCCATGAATATAACCTGGCAAGATTATATATGTTGGTACTGGGTTGTTTTTTTAATCTTTGTGAAAAATGATTCAGTGTTAAATTTTAGTGTCTAAAACTATAAATATTTAGAAATGATATATGGAGATAACAAACAGTAATCAAGCTCGAAAGTCCATTGAAACGATACAAATTTGGAGCAGAGCAAACACGGACCTCTAAAACATGAGATGTGATTAACTTTACATATATCGACGTAGTTTAAACATGTATGGATCCCCAAGGAAAATGATATTGATAACGATAACTGAAGAAGTTGTCGACTATCTTAAAATAGAAATTTGGATACTTATTTTCAAGGGTTTTGACTCCACCCCCTAGTAGCAGCATGATCTTGGACTAGGCATTGTCAACTTTGAATAGTGAAAGAAGCAGCTAGGCTCTATATTGAAGACTTGTCAGAGGTGGACAAGGTCCACACTATCTTAGATTTACCTGATAAATACATGTATTTGTTTTTATTTGTTATTTAGTGTTAGAGCTTTTTCATACAACTTCTCTTTTCTACATGGTTATGAAAAGTACAAGTTCTGTAATAAGGATATAACTATTTGCTCATAAAGATGTGCTACATTGTAGATGAGTGATAGCATCAACTTGAAAAAATCACTTCGTTAAGAATATCAAGTTTTTACATCAGTAGCTAAAAAGTATGATCAGTCTAAGCT